ACAAAGGATCTTGGGCGAAAAACCAGCCCTGAGGAAGGGGTCGGTCGGGACCTTTTTGGGACCGTGCATTGAAACCACACACATCATCGAATGTCAGCTTGGATGACCGCAGAGTGTGCTAGACGGGATAGGGAATGTTGTTTAAGTTGATGTTGGATAAACAAGCTATGCCTGGCCAGATCTAGCTTACACGTGTGGGTTGCAGGTGCTCTCCGCGGCTCCACTGGAGCACAGATCTGGGCTAAGTGGGGGGAGCCCACTTACCGAAGTTACCTAGCCCTTTTACGACACTTGGGACAGTTGAAAACCATTCACGCGCTCGGCTAGGCCAGAACCCACCTTCGCCCACTTACAACACCCCATGCCGCTGTAATCAGCAACAACCAACCACCGAGGTCCTCGAAGTTCTGTGTCCAGTCGGGCCGCCCTCCCCTGCCACGGAGACCCTCTCCGTGGACGGCGGCATGTGTGAGTCCGTCCCATTTGGTCCTGCCCGCCTGGGCTCGCAGAGGAAAAGCTGCCGGGGCGGCCCCTCGTGAGGGGCACCCTGGCCGCCAGCGTGGCCCGAAGGCGCCTTGGGTTCCCAGAGCCCCTTGCGCATGTAGCGACGAGAGTCGCGACGGCAGGTTTGGGGCATTGCTCGGCCTCAGCGCAGGTACAGTGGCCATCGCTCGGACGTGTGCATTTTTCTAGTCCAGGACTATCGCGGATGATATCGGATCATCTTGCGAAGTGAAAAAGAACAACACGCACGAAACCGAATCATACACGTGGAATGGATGTCCGAGCGATGGCAAGCTGAGCCCCGAGCCCCTCGCGTATAGCGACAAGAATCGCGGCGGCAGGACTTGTGCATTGTTCGACCTCCGCGGAGGTGCTCGCCAGGCCCCAGGACTATCGAGAGACGGCTCGGAATGAGAGGCCGGGCCCTGGGGACAGGTCCGGACTCAGCGGCACCGTAACAGGTATTCCCTAAGGGGAATTTGGAAGATTTGCCGAAAGTTGCCCACATCGCGGAGGGCTTGGGTTCGCCGGGTGACCGGCGAAGGTATCCGTCAGTGGAGTCCCCGTGAGAGGGGCGCTGACAGACCTTCAGAGCCCCGAATCATCAGGGGTAACTCGGGTCAGGGCTAACTCGGGTTTGTTTTTCGGGAATCCGAACCCGAGTTACCCCGGACCCGAGTTACCCCGGATAACTCGGGCGCCCAAGACCTCCTGGGGTCCGTGTGGTGAAGAGGTCTCGGCGTCGGAGTTCTGGGGAGCCTCGCCGAGGCGCCCAGCAGGCTCCCGAGAGACTGAGCACCCCCCCTCCCCCCCTCTTGGTGTCGCTCGGACGTGTGCATTCGTCATCGGCGAGGACCGTCGAGGCGCAGCCTGGATCCCCTGGCCAAAAAAATGATATATATATATATATATATATATATATATATATATGACAGGGCTAGGATCGGGATAAATCGCTCCAGAGCGTTCCGGAGCGCTCTCAGAGCGTTTCGGAACGCTCTGGAGCGGCCGCGGCGCCCACATCCTCCAAACCCTCCGATTCTCAGAGATTTCGACTTATCCCGATCCGATTTTGTCCCGATCTTCGCGTCGTTTTAAGAGAGGGAGAGAGAGAGAGAGAGAGAGAGAGAGAGAGAGAGAAAACACGCGCGAAACCGACGAGGTGCACGGGGAGCGGCCGCCTCCGAGCGACGGCGAGCCCCGCGCGAGCCCCCTCTTGGGGCTCTCCCTCCGGCGGGGCGGGCCTCCCTCGATCCCGGCGCCGTCTTTGCCGTCCGTGCGTGGGCCTCTGTCGGCGGCGGGGCCCGCCGTCGGAAAACAAAATCACTGCCGAACCATGCAGCGTCGACCGTGGCATCGCTCGGACGCGCTTGGCATCGCTTGGACGTGTGCATTTTTCCTTCGGCGAGGACCATCTAGGAGCTTCCTTGCTCATTTGGCGAGGAAAACACGCACGAAACCGAAACAAAAACACAGAAAATGGACGTCCGAGCGATGGCCAGCGCGTGCTTTTTCTCCCTCGGCGAGGACCATCGCGGAGCATGCCGGGCCATCTCGCGAAGGATACGCGCATGGAATCGAGCAGTGCACGGGGAGAGGGCGGGATGGCGAGGCGTGGCGGGAAGTGCACGAAGAGTGCACACGTCCGAGCGATGGCGAGGACACCGTCGACGGTCCGCGTGGATCTCTTGGATCTGCGCTGGGCCCCCCCTTGGGCGGCGCCGCCCCTGGCGCGCTCCGCGCGCAGGGGGGGGGGGACCAGCGACAATACAAGATCTCTGGGCGGAGCTCGGCAGCGGGGAGGAAGAGGAGGAGGAGAGGGAGGAGGAGGAGGAGGAGGAAGAGGAGGAGGAGGAGAGAGAGGGACGAGGAGGAGGAGGGAGGAGGGGGAGGAGAGGAGGATAGGAGGAGGAGGAGGAGGAGGAGGAGGAGGAGGAGGAGGAGGTGAGGAGGAGGAGGAGGAGGAGGGAGGAGGCGGAGGAGGAGGAGGAGGAGGAGGAGGGGAGGGGAGGAGGCTAGGAGGAGGAGCAGGAGGAGAGAGGAGGAGGGGCGGAGGAGGAGAGGATGAGGGAGGAGAGGGGAGGAGGAGTTGGAGGAGGAGGAGGAGGAGGAGGGCGGAGGGGGGGGAGGAGGAGATCCCCCCACCTGGACAGGGGTCGAGGGGCCCAGGATCACCCGTCGGTTGTTGAAAGTAGGTATGTGTGGATTTCCAGATTCCAATCTACTTTGAGCGCCTGCCGCAGGTATCATGTTCCAACATACTTTTAGACTTGACCACCAGAAATAATCTCGAGCGCCAGAACAGTACCGAAACTCGAGGGAGACACTCGTCCGACACTGTTTCGGTAAAGTTTCGACTTTTCTCCGGGTGCTCGAAATTATGTCTGGGATGTGGTCCTTAGATACGATGGGAACAACATAACGCCTGCCTACTTCCATGATCGAGTGGTTTCACCTTTTCCGTCCTCTTCCGGGGGACGGCGGACACCCAGTCTATTTCAACGGCTTCTTGCTTCATGCTTCTATGCCTACTTCTTCCGACCGATGGGCATACCAGGACGCCTGTGGCGCTGCCTGGGCTTCGCTGAGGTCTCTTTGCATCGCTGGGACGTGTGCATTTTGTTCTTCAGCGAGGACCGCCGAGGAGCATCCTGGATCCTCAAGCCAGAAACCAAACCACGCGCGAAGCCGAAAGACGCACGGGGAATGGACGTAGGAGCGACGGCCAGGGCCTCCGTCGGCTTGTTCCGAATGTGTGGCCGACCAAGGCTCGACCCGACAGGTGTGTGTGTGTGTGTGTGTGAGTGTGTGAGTGTGTGTGTGTTTGTGTGTGTCTGTGTCTGTGTGTGTGCGTGTGTGTGTGTCTGTGTCTGTGTCTGTGTCTGTGTCTGTGTCTGTGTCTGTGTCTGTGTCTGTGTCTGTGTCTGTGTCTGTGTGTGGTGTGGTCTGTGTGTGGTGTGTATGTGTGTGTGTGTATGTGTGTGTGTGTGTGTGTGTGTGTGTGTGTGTGTGTGTGTGTGTGTGCGACTCCGAGGGCCATGCTCGCCTCGACGCCGCTGTGCAGCAGTGGCGGGGCGCAGACAGAGCGAGGCAGGACGCACACCACGCAAACACGGGAAGCGCCGTGCAGGTCGACCTCTGTGACCGAGGCTGGGGCGCGGACAGCGCGGCCGCGCGCCGCGCTCCCGCGGGGCTCCGCGCACGCCTTGGAAGCGCTCGGCGCCGCGCGAGCCGCGCTGCCGCAGCCGGGGGGACCCTGCAGAGGAGGGCAGCGGCAGGGGAGGAGGAAGCGAAGGGGGCACCGGCGGCCTGCTCGGCTGCTCCGCGCCCACAGGTCGGGAGCGGAAAAGAGGGGGGTGATGACTAGGGGGGGGGGGATCTCATGGCGTGGGTCATGATATTTCCCCAGATTTCATGGCGCCTCTTCTTATTTCATTACGTCCCCGGCCCCCCCGCTGGGCCGCGCACATGCCGCCGGTCATGATTTGCACCCCCCCCTCTTGGACACCCCCCTCTTGGCCGCTCCCGAACATGGGCACCTGATCTTAGACCATCTATTTCGGCACCTCTTGGGGTCCGCACCGGCAGCAGCCTTCATGTGTTACCCTTTGCCCGAGTCGGCGCACTCGTGCTCGTGCTCCCGAGGAGCGCACGAAGCCCGGCATCCATATCCGCCCAGCGCAGAGCAGCGAGAAAGGAGGAGGAGGAGGGCAGGGTGAGCGCCCCTCACTCCCCAGACCCCCTTGCACCGAGACAAAACATCGCGGCAGGAAGGCTTCTGTGACTCTGTTATTCGTTGCTGTTTTTGGCGCCTGTTTCGAGCAGGTGGAGTTCTCCCCGCATAGGACGCACTGTCGCAAACAGTCGCACTGAGCAGAGGCCTGGAGCCCCCCCCCCCCCCTCCCCCCCTTCCTCCGAGTGTCGAAACGCCGAACAAGAAAACGCTCACTTTCCGTGGGGGCCCTCGTCGGGCCTTCGTGTGGGACCGTCCGCAAAATGACTCGGGACGGAACGCCCCCCCACTCGGGGGGGCGGCATTCTGTCCCAGACGCCCGCCCGCCCCCTCGCTTCGCCCCTCGTGCTCGACGCTGGTTTCCTCCTCGCTCCTCCTTCTCCTCCTCGTTCGCCTTCTCCTGCTCGCTCTTTCTCCTTCTCATTCCCCTCCTTCTCCTCCTCCTCCTCCTCCTCCATCCTCCTGCTCCTCCTCCTCCTCCTCCTCCTCCTCCTCCTCTTCCTCCCCCGTACCCACCCTCTTTCACCGCCTCGTCTCGTCCTTTCCCCCACCCCCCCGGCACGGAAGGGGTATAGGCGAGGGGCTTCCCTTCGGCTTAATTGCGTCGCTCCCCATCCTGACGACAGCGACAACGACGACGACGACGACGACGACGACGACGACGACGACGACGACGACGACGACGACGATGACAGCCTCCTCCACACGTCGAAGGGTCGGTGGATTCTGTCCGACGCATCCCCCCCCCTCTAGCGGCCCCGAGGCGCTTTGCTGCGAGCCCGCGCGCTGCGCCGAGGAAGCCCCCGGCCGCGCGCCCCTGGCTGCAAGGAAGCCCAAGGACCGGCCGCTTTTTCGCGCGCGCCTCCCTCCTCCCTCCTCCTCCTCCTCCTCCTCCTCCCTCCTCCTCCTCCTCCTCCTCCTCCTCCTCCTCCTGCCCCTCCTCCGCAGGGGCCGGCGGCGGCTTCACTCTTCTCTTCGGCTACGCCCTAGGAGGAGGCGCCGCCGGCTTGGCGCAATGGCAGCGCCAAGGAGGCGCAAGTGCTGTTAGCTCGTAATTCGTAGGAGGAGGCGGAGGAGGAGGGAGGAAGAGGAGGAGGAGGAGGAGGAGGAGGAGGAGGAGGAGGTGGGGCAGGCGGAGGCGGGTGCGGAGGGAGGGGGGGGGAGCAAAGGGGAGGAGGGAGGGTGTGGGGGTGGGAGCAGAGGGGGAGGAGGGAGGGTACAGGAACACTGGATGATGACGAAGACGAAGGTGAATCTGAGAATGATGATGCTGATGAGGATGAGGATGGTGATGGTGATGATGATGGTGATGGCCGGGATTATGCTGATGATGATGGTGATGCTGATGGTGGTAATGAAATTGACGATGATGGTTACGACGATAATGCTGCTGATGATGCGAATGTTGAGGCCCATGACAATGTTGATGATTCTGATGCAACGGCTGATGACCATGTTGAAAGTGATCGTTGTGATGCTGGTGATCACGCGCAATGACGACGACGATGGCGATGATCGTGATACTGATGATGTTGATGATGCTGGTGATGGGGATGATGCTGATGATGAGGATGATGCTGATGATGATGACGATGATGATGGTGGTGGTGGTGATGCTGATGATGCTGATGATGATGCTGATGATGCCGATGATGATGCTGATGACGATGCTGATGATGATGCTAACGATGATGATGGTGATGATGATGATGGTGGTGATGATGATGATGATGATACGGATGCTGATGGTGGTGGTGGTGATGATGCTGATGATGATGGTGATGGTGATGATGATGATTATGATGATGCTGATTATGATGATGATGATCGTAACGATGATGATGCTGCTGATGCTGCTGCTGATGATGATGCTGCTGATGATGATGTTGATGTTGATGAATCTGAATATGATGATGATGCTGATGATGGTGATGCTGATGATGATGATGATGATGCGGATGCTGCTGATGGTGGTGCTGATGATTCTGATGATGATGATGATGATGATGATGATGATGATGATGATGGTGATGGTGGTGATGATGATGCTGATTGTGATGGTGATTGTGATGGTGATAATGCTGCCCATGATGATGATGCTGCTGCTGATGATGATAATGATGATGGTGCTGGTGATGGTGATGGTGATGATGATGCTCATGATGATGATGCTGATGATGATGATGATGATGATGGTGATGGTGATGGTGATGGTGATGGAGATGGTGATGGTGATGGTGATGATGATGGTGATAGTGATGGTGATGGTGATGGTGATGGTGATGGCTGATGGTGATGGTGATGGTGATGGCTGATGGTGATGGCAGATGGTGACGGCGGTGCGTGGCGGTGGCGGTCCAAGGCTCCTTCGCCCCTCGCCCCCCCTTGGGACCGTCGGAGGTCCGAGGCTCCCCCGCCCGCCGTCCCCCTGCCTCCTCCTGCCTCCTCCTCCTCCTCCTCCCTCCTCCAACTCCTCCTCCTCCTCCTCCTCCTCCTCCTCCTCCAACTCCCTCCTCCTCCTGCTCCTCCTCCTCCTGCTCCTCCTCCTCCTCCTCCTGCCTCCTCCAACTCCTCCTCCTCCTGCTCCTCCTGCTCCTCCTGCTCCTCCTGCTCCTCCTGCTCCTCCTGCTCCTCCTGCACCTCCTGCTCCTCCTCCTCCTTCTCCTCCTCCTCCTCCTCCTCCTCCTCCTCCTTATGCTCCTCGGGTCAGTCGTGAAGCCACCGCGACGGGGGGCTTCTCCTTGCTTCCTGCTTCCAGGGGCCCTCGCCGGGCCCCAGGACGGTCCGGGGATGACCCAGGATGGAACTCCGTGGGGACGGCTCTGGGTTTGAAGGGGGCTCGCTCTTCCTGAGATCATTCCGTTGCTGTTCTTGTGGCCGTTCTCGTGCACGCCGCGGCGCTGTTGGCGCGCCCAGAGGGGGCCTCTTTCCTTACCCAGCAGCGCTCATTTCAGCAGCCCTCCTGTACCCATCGGTCGTTGGAAGTAGGTCGTTTTGGATTCCCAGGTGTCAATCTATGTTCAGCGCCTTCCTGCTTCCATGATCGAGTGACTTCACCTTTTCCGTCCTCCTCATGGGGCGGACGGAACCCAGTCTGCTTTCAACGCTTTCTTCTTGCTTCATGTTCCTGCCAGCTTCCGACCGATGGGCATACCAGGACGTCACCGGCGCTGCCTGGGCCTCGTTGAGGTCGCTTGGCATCGCTGGGACGTGTGTATTTTCTCTCCAGCGAGGACCACCGAGGAGCATCCTGGATCCTCAAGCCAAAAACGAAACCACGCGCGAAGCCGAAACACGCACGGGGAATGGACGTCGGAGCGACGGCCAGGGTCTCCGTCGGCTTGTTCCGAGTTTGTGGCCGACCAGGGCTCGACCTGAACAGGAAACACACACACAGCGTCGGGGGCCTGGCGGCGGGGCCGAGGCGACCCGGTGCGGAGCTTCTGCTTGCCGGCAGGAGAGGGCCCCCCCCCCCACTCCGCCCCTCGCCCTCCGACCGCCTGCCAGTGAGCGGACGGCTGGCCTCGTTGGATGGTTTTCCTTTACGTCGTGAGGAATATTCAAAAATAGTCAACAAATAATCAGGGGACGATTTTCTGTGACTATTTTTCTAGTATTTTTTAATAAGTTTGGCAATCTGTTTAGTTTTTCGCTCAAAATCCGCGCGTAGGCGGATGTGCCTGTGGTCCGTCATGGGGGGCTCAAAATGCACCAGGATTCTCCGCAGCTTTGAATCCTTCGTCCAAGCTTCGTCGGATCTGGTGGACATGTGGACGACATCTGGGCGAAATCTGGACGACATCTGGACGAAGGGATAAAGAACGGTGGTCGAAAACTGATCGACATCTGGCCGAAATCGCGTTTACAGTCGGGGCCCTGAAGAAGGAACCCTTTTCGTTGGGGAGGGGCTCCGCGTTCCTTAAGTGTTTCGCAGCTTGCCTCAGGTTCTCCTTATGCTTTCGATCGGAAATCGAAGTTTAACGTATGTAAAAAAAGGGACCTCGTTCCTTATTTAGGGTTCCTTAGGTCAACGCCCCGACTGTATGATCGGGCCGTGGAGGTCCACAGAGACCCCCTATCTAGACGCTTCGCGTAACCCCACCAGCCCATCCAGAAACGACACCCAGACAATTTTCCCTGATCAGGCATGTGGGGGAGCACGCAGTGGAGTTAAGAGTTCGGTAAGACGTCGCGCCCCAAGAGGGTGGGATGGAGGAGGAATCGGAGGAGGAGGAGGACGACGACGACGACGACGAGGACGAGGAGGAGGAGCAGGAGCAGGAGCAGGAGCAGGAGGAGGAGGAGGAGGAGGAGGAGGAGAAGGAGCTCTCATGGTGTCTCTTGGGAGTCTCTTGGGGGCATCTTTGGGCCCTCCTGGGCGCCTCTTGGGGCTGCCTGGGCACCTTGGGGCCGTCCAGGGGCACCCTTGGGAGTCTTGGGGACCATCTTTGAGCCATCTTGGAGGAGATCGATCAAAGCAGGGAAGTTTTTCCAATGGGGTCCCCTGTCCAGAAGGCCAGAATGTGGTCAAAACCTTGTTCAAATCAGCGATTTGGGCCTTCTCGCCGACGCCTCTTAGGGCATCTTGTGTGCCTCTGGGGGGCCTCTTGGGGCGTCTTGGGGGTCTCTTGGCAGCCTTTTGAGGGCATCTTGGAGCGTCTTGGGGGCCTAATAGGGCCTCCTGGGCACCTCTTGGGGCCATCTTGGGGCTCCTTTGGGAGCCTTGGGGTCTTGAAGGAGACCACTCAAAGCAGGGGAGCTTCCCCATCAGGGTCCCCTCCAGGAGGCCAAACTGTGGCCGAAACCCTGAGGTCCCCCAATCGTCTTTCTGACTTCCGCGCGGTCTTAGGCTGGCCCTTCCCCCTACCCCGAGGGCCTGCAAAAAGATGCATGTGGGGGCATTTTGGGGCCGTCTAGGGACCGTCCTGGTGCCATTTTACACCCATTTTGCCCTAAGGCCGCCGACGCCCATCGGAAGCAAAACGCTGGGATGCCAGAACATATTGACACAAAAACAGTGTGTTTGTTATGATGTTCGCCTCGCGGGTGCCTCCTTGGCGAGCTCTGTGGCAGCATCGGGTCGTCTTGTGGCCGTCTGGGCGCCTCTTGGACGCATGTTGGAGGCCATCCAGGGCTAGCGTCGACCACCGCGCGCCATCCTGGAAGCAATTACGGGCTATTTGGAGCTCTCTTGGAGCCATCTTGGCTGCCCAGCGGTGGTCCCGAAGGGGCCCAGACGCCCTCCTGTGGCCCAAGAGGGGCCCCAGATGCGTCCGAATCGATACATCGCCAATGAGGGCCATTCTTTTTGGAAGGCCGAACATTGTCAAGACCCTCAAGACGGCCCAGGTTGGCTCCAAGACGCACTGCTATTCTTCCCTCGTTTCCTCCTTTCAGGCCTCCTGGGAGGCCCTCGTCGTCACCCCAGGATTCGCCTCGAAATCCTGGTCAGATCGCACCCCCCCCAGAGGTCTGGGGAGTAGCGGTATTGGTATCTTTTGGTTCCCCCCAAAAAGAATGGTTGAGGACTCAGAGTTGGTCCTCGGTGAAGGCCCGCTGGGGTCGAGGACCTGTTCCCCTCAGGACCCGTTTGCTGGATGCCAGGCCGAGGTTGGGGTGTTGAAACCAATCCGGATGGTGGCCTGTCGAGGGTAACCGACGCTGCCCCAATTGGTTGTTGTATTGCACTGTGCTGTACAGTACTCAGCTGTAGCAGGTTTCGTTGCCACGTACCCGAAACAACAACACGACTCAAACGATGCTTTGATTAGTCTGAGCAGGCAGTTCAAGGTCATATCTTGTGAGTAGCTGGGCCGTGTTCGTTTCTTCTTCCCACAGGATACCTCGAGGGGCTATTGATGGGCAGACCCAAGCCTTGCCCTCCTTCTCGTCTCCGAAGCTCTGAAGCGGGGAAACGTTTCGGAGACCCCAGCACGGCAGCAGTTGTTTCTGCAGAGTGGCATACTTTGTAATTGGCGCATGCCTTTTGAAATGCCAAGTCGTTGTGTGCCTGCACTTAGTGGGCCCTGGAAACGACAGGGCCGTTTTTTAACCGGTTCCGTTCTGTCGTTTTTTTGCCGGTTCCGACTCCGTTTTTTTTACCGGTTCCGTCGCCGTTTTTTGACCGGTTCCGGCTCCAGTTCCGATCCTGGAGCCGTTTTGTTGCCGTTTCCGGTCGCCGTTTTTTTTGCTGTTTCCGTGTTCAATGGACATTTCTTGGCAAACGGTGAAAAAACGGCCCTGCCGTTTCCGGGGCCACAAAGTGCCTGCATGCACCATCTCAGCGTGTACTTGATGCTCTCATGCGAGCTCGTTTCTCTGATCCTCAGGTCCGCGTGGCAGGAGACGATGACAAAGCCCTGACCCAGGATGGACCTCGCCTCTGTTTGAGCGAAACGTGTTTGAGTCACATATGGGTTTGCCAGACATGTCGCTTGCAGCCGTAAGTGACCCCGCGGGCAGGAACACACTATCTGACATGCAGCATGCATTGCCCATTGCCATGCTCGTCTGCTTGTTGCTCCAGCAAGATTATTCCATAACGTAGGTGCAAGGTACATCGCGGCAGGACGTCACGATAGTACACAATCATCATTGACATCGTTTTTTTTGCGCGTGAGTTCGTGTTCAGGCGTTAGCTCAATTTGTATGCATGGTCTGCGCGCGTTGTCATCCATCTTGCAGGTCTTGTTCCACTGGCAATTTGTCGCCAGTATGTGCTTACACACTTGTACGGGGTTCGGACGACATTGTGCCCACAACATCGCTATGTGTTTTGTCATTGTTTCTTCTCATGTCCTCTGATTCCGACCTCGACCAAAGTACGAGCCCTTGAGTGCCTCCAGGATCCCCTAAACATCTCCTGGAGGCCCGTCAGAACGTCCAGCCCCACGCCCCACACCAACCTCCAGGACCACCCCAAGAAAACCTAGGTACCCCCAGTGCAGTGAACGCGCATAGTATGGATGAGCGACTTTCCAAGGCTACCCCTGCATCCTTGCCCCTTCGGCCCATCCTTAGCGACTTTCGCTGGCCAACCCCGTTCGAAAAACGTCGACATGGCCTTCCAAGGCCCTTGCAGCCTTACCGCGCATCCTTATTCTAGACGCTTCGCGTAGCCCCACCAGCCCATCCAGAAACGTTACCCAGGCGAGTTTGCTTGATCAGGCATGTGGGAGGGAGCACGCAGTGCAATAAAGGTTGAGGAGCCGTCATACCCTAAGAGGGGGAGGATAGAGGAGGAACCAGAGGAGGAGGAGGACTAGTGGGGGAGGAGGGGGAAAGGAAGAAGGGAGGAAGTAGGAGGCGGATTAGCAGGATGAAGAGGAAGAGGAGGAGGAGGAGGAGGAGGAGGAGGAGGAGTGCGAATAGGAAGGCCAGAGGCCTCTTGGATGCTTCTCGGGATCTCTTCGGATGTCTCTCGGGAGCTTCTTGTAGGTATGTTTGGGCGTGTTGGTGGCGTCTCGGCGGCCCCTGGGGCCTCTGGAAACGTCTTAGGTGCCTCGGGGGGCCTCTTTGGGGTCTCTTGGGGGTCTCTTGGGAGCCCCCTGGGGGCATCTTGGGGACATCTTGGGGGCATCTTTGGAGGCTCTTGGGCCTCGTGGGTGCCTCCCCTTGGAGCCCTCTTGGGAGCCTTGGGGGCCATCTTGGGGAAGATCGCTCAAAGAAGACGGGGTAGTGAATTACCGTCGCCCCCACCCAGATGCCAAAATGTGCCCCCCAAAGCCTTAGTAGAATCAATGATGTTGGCCTTCGCGCCGAGGCCATCTTGGCCTTCGCGCTGAGGTCCAGGGACTTCCCCTGATGGAGCGGGCCAATCCCTCCCACTGACGACAGAACTGTCCCGCCCGCTCCCTCCCCCAGGCGGCCCGCCCCAGATGCCTGCTGGAGGGCCCCCGATCGTCTACCCGCCTTCCGGACGGTCTTAGGCTGGCCCTTTGCCCCCGAGGGCCTCCACCAGGTCGCCTTTGATGGCCATCTTGGGGCCATCTTGGGGCCATTTTGGGGCCGTCTCGGGCCCACTTCGGGTGCTTTCTTGGCGAGCTCTGCGGCAGCACCGGGCCGTGCCGTCTTGAGGCCGTCTGGGCGCCTCTTGGGCGCATGTTGATCATCCAGGGCTAGCCGTCGACCACCGCCCGCCATCCTGGAAGCAATCTCGGGCTATCCGGAGCTCTCTTGGAGCCACCTTGGCTGCCCAGAGGTGGTCCCGAAGGGGCCCAGACGCCCTCCGGTGGGGCCCAGGAGGGGCCCCAGGTGCGCCCGAATCGGTACAGCGCCAGCAGGGGCCACCACTCTTTGGACGACGGAGCATCTCCAGGAGCGTCGCGACTGCCCAGGACGGCTCCAAGACGCCCCAGGAGACCCCCAAGACGGTTCCGTAGCCGCGATCGTCTTCTCGAGCCGCATCCGAGGAGGCAGCCTTTCTCCTTCGACCCCGCATGACGTGCGTGTCAGTCGTCCTACTGCTCCTGGCAAGTGCTGCTGCAGAGACGCCACGAGCGATCGGGTGCACGCTGGAGGAGGAAGAACAGCCAGAACAGTCAGAACGCCTACGAGCAGACCCCAGAACTGCTGACGAGTAACAGCCAAGAACGCCCACGAGCAGACCCCAGAAAAGGCTGACCGCGTAGTGAACGGCAGCGCAGTCGTGGACGCGATGCTGGACGACACAAACGCGAGGTTGCTGGCAAACCTCGCAGAGCAGCTTGCGGCAGACCGAGACAAAGGGAGGGCTAGCTACAATGGAACGTGCGCGGCAAGCTCTACGATGAGTATCGCCGCGTGCTCTCAGTTCGCACCCGATTGGTGCTGGGCCACGACCGTCGCTGTGACTGCGGGCTTCTACCAGCCGACGCAGGAAAAAGCGGACCAGGACAATTGCAAAGCCATGTCTTGCCGACCCGGGCAAGTTGTTTCGCCCGTTCAATCCCGCTCATTGTTGTGGTGCCTCCAACGAGGATCGTCACGGCAACAACGCTGCGGTTGGCCAGAATGAGATCGTCGAAGCCATCGCGTTCCTGTCGCAACAAGACTACATCGGCTTCGATGGGTGCCCCTTGGAGCAGGAGGCCCTCGACGCAGCCGTGTTCTGGCTCGGTGGTGGCGGCCACTTTCTGGCGATTGGCGGGTGCGCGGGCAATGGTGGGTATATGTTTACGACCCATTGACCAAGAGAGGCTTGTGGCAGACTCTGACCTACGCGCAGAGTCTCAACTATGACCCCGGCTCGGTCGAGGACAGCGCCAGATACACTCTGGTGCAAGAGCAGAAGACCGATCATACGCCCGACGGCTTGCTCCAAGAGGAGAACGAGTCGAACAGTACTCCAGATTTCGTAATAAAGGGAGGGGGGTCTCATTTCGGAGGGGCCTCTTCCAGGCTATCTTGGAGGGCCTGGGGGGGTCTGGGGACGATGTTTTGGAGGGTTCCCCCACGGGGTGGGGGTCTAAAACTTCTCGTCTGGGAGGGTTGAGACCCCCTCCCTTTTATTACGAAATCTGGAGTACACATCGCAGGTGGGTTACGGAGCTTCTCGGTGGCGTTGAAGACCGAGGCAACGTGGCAGTATGCTCAGTGGTGGGCCCAGCAGCCTGGGCGCACGGCTTTCGCCAAGACAAGGGGACCTGTCGAGTTGAGTGCCTGATCAAAGGAGGTGGAGGAGGAGGAGGAGGAGGAAGAGTGATGGTGGAGGTGGAGGAGGAGGAGGAGGACCACCTTCTATCGATGATGGGTTCTTAGTTCGCAGTATTCGAATGACCGGCCAGAACGCACGTTACCCGGCCATACTGATGTTGGGTGCCCGTTTTTAACCAGCATTGACCCCACGTCTCCTCACCTCCACTCCCTTCTCTCCCTCCTCCCCCACTGTTCCTCCTCATCCTCCCAAGGCAGGTGCGCCAGAGTCTGTCAGCCTCTGCGCAGCCAGCTTTGATTTTTAAGGCGATGCACTAGAAACATCCCTGGTGCTTGGACGGAAGGATGTCGGGAAAGTCATGTGTGGCAGACTAGGGTCAGGCACCGGGAGTGTTTTCTCCTGCTCGTTTGCTTGAGGCACACGGAAGTTTGAACTGGATGCGCCGGGGGTGGTGCTCAGCGCGCCCTGGTGCAACGTCGGTTTGGGAGAGTCAGCATGCAACGATATAAAACAGAGACCCCCAATGCGGCCCAAGGTGGCCCCGACACGGCCGCGGACGCTCCCAAGAGGCGCCCAGGAGGGCTTCAAGATGCCTCCGAGAACGACATGCTCACAATCCGTCGAGCGGTCCATGCGTGAAGAAAGACAAGCATTAGACAAAGGGGGAAGTGCGACTGTGTGGGGCAGGTGAAAGGATAAGCCTCTCCCCGAAGAAGAAGATAAAAGGGGACTGAAAGAGAAAACGCTCCAAACCACCCACGCCCAGAGGGCTGGCGGGATCGTGCGTTTCGATTGTAGCCTTAGGTCGGGCATGTCCTTCTACAGGCGGGTTCTGGCACCAAGAAGTTAAAGCATAAACAGCAAACATGTCAAAATTTGCCAACAACAAGAGGAAACTCGTCCCCGGGCTATTTTTCTAGATTTCCTAGAATAGTTAAGGGGCATGCCCGATTGAGTTGTAGCCTTGCCACGCCAGGCGCATTCTCTCTGCCTCGTGGCCGGCGGCCCCTCCTGCCCAGGCTTCCGCGCGGCCGAGCTCCCAGTCGAGCGCTGCGGCGCCCCGAGCTGCCTCACTGCACCGTCGAGAGCTGCCGTCCTCCATCGGTGGGTCGGGCGTGTCCCTCTACAGGAGGAGTAGTCAAGAATAGGCAGAAGATCGTCGGGGGACTGTTTTCTGGAACCGTTTCGTGTTTGCCTGCTTGAATTTTTTGGCGTTTCGTCCAACATGCGCCTGTCGAGGGACGGGCCCGACTCAACTCCATCGCTGAATGCTCATCCGCACGGCGTGATGACCACCAGGAGACAGACAGGGACGTCCCACGATTCGATTCGATGCGATTCGATTGGCCGGTGGGGGCCGCAGTTGGCGACCCGATCTCGATCCGATTCGGGACGATCCAATCCGTTTCCGATCCGATTTGATCTTTTTGTTCGATCCAGCTTAAGGTCTGCTGGAGGATACCGAGCAAGTTGTTTCAAAGACTTCAGGGATCACGTGTGTTACCCCCCCCCAGACCCCCAACGTAACGAGAACGCGTGGGAGCTGCCCGCAGGCGTGAACCTCAGCCACGCGCAGAGGGGGTTGGGGGGAGGGGGGAGGGCTTCTTAGAAGCACCCCTGCTTATTAGAAGGCGCGGGCCTTATCTATAGATGTAAGGCCGGCGCCTTCTAAGAAACAGCCTCCTTCAAAGAAGCCCTCCCCCCTCCCCCACCCCCTTGTGCGCGCGCCGCCAAGGATCATTGCAGCTTCCATCGGACCTTCCAGAGATCCTCACGCAGGCACTGTGGTGCACGGTCACGGTGTGGTGCACGAGGCTGCTGTGGTATGCGCAGGCGTTGTGAAGTACAAACAAACGATTTAGTGCACGCAGGCACTGTGGTGTGCAGTGGCGCTGTTGCGCCCGCGGGTGCCAGTGCACAGAGACGGTGCGGTGTACACGCGCGATGTGTCGCCACGGTGCGCGCAGGTTCTTGGGTGAACAGAGGCACTGTGGTGTACACAGGCGCTACATAGCGCCTGGTAAACACACAGACACAATTAATCGACGATTCCCCCAAAAATATAGCAACATATGGGGAGCGGGGTGGAAGACAACAACCCAGAAAATATTTTAAAACATATGGGGAATCCTGTCATGTGTGTATTTACTTGTGTGCCCCAGGGCCCCTTTCAGCTATGGTGCACGCAGGCGTTGTCGTAAACACACCTGTTGTGGTGCACAGAAGGCGCGCCTTCGGGGGTGCACGCTGATCGCCGTTGCACTCGCCCCCCCGCCGACCCCCCAGTGACACGCATTACCCCCACTGATGGATAATAAAACGGTCTCTTGTCTGCATCTTCTCCGCAGCCAGCGCGCCACTGAAATCTTGCACCATTGGCAAATCAGCACGGTGTAAAGAGTACGCGCCTACGAACAACATCTTGGGGGCACCCATTTTTTCTTTCTCTTCGGTAGCAAATCATAGGAGCCTGGTATACCTCGTTTCTTCCGTTTTCAGTGTCGATTTGCGTCAGGGAGTCGATGAGATAGCGCCGATCTAGCGTCGGCTAGCGTCGATCAGCGTCGATCTAGCGTCGATTAGCAGCGACAATCGTCGAGTAGCGTCGATTCGCAGATGGTATGGGAGGCGCCCATGAGTTGCCCCCGACCTTTCGTCCAGCAGCCGGTGGGGATGGCGACAGGGTGCCTCTCGGAGGTGGTCCGGCTCTGTCCGGTCGGCGGGGCGGTTCCTCCGCCGCCAGCGAGGATCCGCTGCCGCTGTTGACCGCGGCCGAGGAGGGCGCGTTCGCCAGGGCGCTGCTGGACAGCTGCCTCGCGGGCCCGCGCCGCGGCGAGGGGCGGGCGGCATCGAGGGGAAGAGGAGCGGGGGGTGGGGCCAGGGGTCCAGGGACGAGGAGGAGGAGGAGGAGGAGGAGGAGGAGGAGGAGGAGGAGGAGAAGAAGGGGGAGGGAGACGAGGAGGAGGGAGAGGAGGAGGGGGGGGGGGGGGGGGGGAGGAGGAGGAGGAGAGGAGGGAGGAGGAGAGGAGGAGGGAGGAGAGGAGGAGGAGGAGGAGGAGGAGGAGGAGGAGGAGGAGGAGGAGGAGGAGGAGGAGGAGGAGTGGAGGAGGAGGGGGAGGAGTGGTGGAGGAGGAGGGGGGGCCATCGTTCCCAAGGATTTCGGGGCTCACGGCGAGCTGGAGTGAGGAGGAGAGGAGGAATACGAGGAGGAGCGGAAGAGGGGCACAGTGATGATCGAGGGCAGCATCCAGTGAGGAGATGGCGGAGCACGTGTAATTAGAGAGGAGAGGAGGAGGAGGAAGAGGAGGAGGAGGAGGAGGAGGAGGCGGAGGAGGGAGTTGGAGGTGGAGGTAGTTGGGCAGATAACGGAGAAGACCAACACTTTTGGACACTGGTATTTGGCTTACGCCGCACTCCCAGCTCTTGGAGGCGAGCCAGTCGGTCCGTCTTGCGAACGCTCCCCGCACCGTCCTGGGGTTCGGGTTTTTTGTTGCGGCTGCCTCCAGGAGCCGTTGGGGCGTCACCGCGTCCGTATCCAGGCCAAGTTGCTCGAAACATGTTCCGCCGGTATGTTTCGGCGGCGAGCCCTGGGGGGAAGTGAGGAGGAGAAGGCCTTCTCAGAAGGCTCGGAAGCCCCCTGGCCTTCCGAGAGGTTGGCTACGCCTTCCGCGAAGACCTTGACAGCTTCTCAGAGGGCGCGAGGCCTTCTGAGAGAAGCCCCGCCGCTTTCTGAGAAGGCCTTCTCCTTCTCACTTCCCCCCCTCGCTCGCCGCCCGATGTTGAATGCCTGGCAGTTCTCCCGGGAGTGGAGAGCAGCACATCGAAGACGTGGCGGCGAGCGAAGGAGCACGGTTTTGGGGAGGAAGGCAGGGGAGGCGGGAGCAAGGGCATGCAGAGGATGGAGGAAGGGTGGCGGCGCGGGGCGTGATTGAGATCCGAATCTTGCGGCGCAACATGCCAAAACACGGCCACAGGGGAACTGTCCAGGCAGTCGGCCGAACACCGCCGCGAAGGGTTCCTTTGGAAGGGGGCCTGCCGGAGGCCCCGACGGTGGGGGGGGAAAGGAACTTGGGCGAATTCTCGGAATACTCGCGACCGGGGCGCGTCGGCATGGAGATGGAGGCGTAACGCGGAGGGGGAGGATGCATGAGGGGGAGAGGCTCTAGGCCTTCCAGGTGGGGTCCGAGAAGGTGGGGTCGGGAGGTCGCGCCGCATCGGCGATACTTCGGCGATGCGTCGTGATGCCGAACCCGATTTTCGCCACGCTCACGGCGCTGATGCATCGGCGATTTACCAGCGATGCGGCGCGATCTTCCGACCACATCTGCTCCGACCCTATTTGGGATGCCTCGAGTAAAGCGGAAGGGGAGGATGAATAGGGGGAGCATGGCAGGGGCAAGCAGGGGAAAATGGGTCTTCGGTAGCAAATCATGGGAGTTTGGTTTGCCCTCTTAATTTGGTCATTCCGTCGATGGGCATCGTCCAGCGTGTGGGAGTCGATGGAGTAGCGCTGATTTACCGTCGGATAGCGTCGATTAGCGTTTAGCGTAGATTCAGCGTCGATTAGCGTCGATTGGCGTCGATTCGCAAGAGCCGACAAGATGGTATGGGAGGCTCCGATGAGTTCCCACCGAACGGGGTACAGACTGGCGCGCGGAGGCATCGCGGAGCTGGACGACCCCCCCCGCGACGCGGCGTGGGCGGACGAGCCAGGATAGCGCCGAGGGCGCGCGCGCGAGCTTCGGAGTCCGTCGGATCTGCGCCATCTCTCGTGCGCGCGCGCGCGCGCCCGCGCGCGCAATCTTCGTCGATATGCGGCCTTCGGACGCTTTCGAAGGCATTCGGTGGTTTTCGTTGGCTCTCGGAGGCCCTGACTGCCTTCGGAGGCCTTCGAGTGCCGTGTTCTCCCTTGAAATCGCCAGTAGGATTCATTGACAGTATGGGTTCTGGCTTGCTATCTGCTTCATGTCTCGTTGCCGTATCGAAATAACGCTTACTGTTTTGGGCAGGAGCATGTCTTCCTGTTTTGTTTGTGTCCAAAGCGCGCACGTGTTGCGTTCACGTGCTGGTTGATTTGAATGCAGCGTGAGCTACGCCGCACACATCGACAGTGGCATGCCTCGTCCTTCCATCGGGCCGTCACCATGGTCACCGCGTCGATCCCGCGGAAGCCTCGGGGAACCATTTCGCGCTCCCTCATTGCTTGTTGCTTCGTCCTCTTCGCGATCGGCTCCTCTTGCGGTCTGCATCGGTTGAAGGTGACGGGCACAGGAAGACCGCATGTCATGCTTACGCAAGATTGGGCAGGAACTGGGATCGCACGGGGGCGCGAGTTTCGAACGGCCAACCGTGTTGCCCCCGCGTTGGTGTCACCGCCGTGACATGAGGACGGTATTCGGCCAATCGTAGTCTCGAGGCACGTGGTTGTTTTTTTGTTGAGGTTTCGCGACGGACGCGTTTGTTCCCGAGCACGTGGTTCTGTTGGTTTGTTGTCCGCCTTACAGGCCTCCCATCGCTTGTAATTGCTGATTTCGAGGGCTGTTCACATTGTCTGCGCCCCGCAACGGTTATTGGACTGTTGAATGCCGCCATCATGACCGCACCCATTACACCATAGTGAAGTTTACGATCGTACCCACATTGCCCTGGTTGCGTACATTGCGTTGCAAATAAATAGCGCCTCCTGCGATGCTTTGCTTTGCAGAAGAAATGTAGGCGCCTGCGGCAGATTTCTGTATATTGGCTCTCGAACCTTGCGACCCGACAACCAAGCGCCCCTCGACCCACCCATTTGTTTTGCAACCAGCTCGGCGCCTGCAGTGGGCTGATTGTTCAGAAAAAGCTACGCCCACGACAGGGTTCATGTTCATTGCGTTGTCGCTCGAGCCCCGCATACCCGTCAATGTCCGGCCGACCCTTCATGCTCGTCTGCCATTTTCGTTTTAAGGTATTCCACCATGCGTCATCCTAGCCGATTGTGCTCCGCCCATTTTCGCCCGCGGCCCTCTCGGATGGATAATCTGCATTGGACGCCGATGCTGCCGTGGGAACGATTGATCTCTCGAGTCAAGACGTTCTTTGGACGGCGCACGCGCGGCGATCTCTCTCACGAGTGAGGTCGTCCTCGGGCCAGCGTCTGCGCCAGAAGCTCTGCCACTTACGGCCAGTTGTCGGCGGCGGGCGAGGGGGGGGGGAAGAAGGTGCCCGCAGTAGGGTTTCTTGAATGGGTACTGAATGGCCCATCTTTGGTCGATGTATCGGCCATGTGTGCGACACGGTACGATTGGCATCCAATGTTACCCGTCATCGAAGGCCAAGTAGGTTGTGCCCGGGCGTTGCGGCAATCCACGACGGGACGCGCAATCCGAGAAGGCCCGAGATGGACGAGGCCTCCTCAGGAGGCGGCTCGGCTTCGCAGAAACCCTCCGGCCTTCTGAACAGTTTTTCGCGCTCCGGAAAGGATGAGGACATCTTTCGACATGTCCGAGGCCTTCCGAGCCTTCCGAGAAGGCCCGCCCCGTCTCACTTCCCCCCCCAGGCTCGCCGCCCAGGCTGTGCTTTTGCCTCCTGTCTGGTGCACGGCTCCGGCTCAGCAGTGGGCATATGGTTGCATTACCGGCCGGCCGAGAGCGCACCAGCGGCCCCACGAGTTTGAAGATTGTGCGTCGGGGCCAGAGCGAGTTCACTCGGGGAGCGTAAGACTCGAGAAGGCCGGAGCGCGGGTTTGACGTTTTTTTCTTTGACGAGCGCGTCCTGGATTTTGGCAGTCCCGTTTTCGTGGGATGTTTGCAGCGGGAGTCCGCGTCAGATTTCAGATTGGGTCTCGTCATCTTTATGATGGCCCCCGTCTGGCCAACCCGAGCCCCCCGTACCCGAGTCTTATGTCTCTCCGATTCGCGTCGGCGGCGCGCCGAAAGGGGGAAGTGAGGGGGGCGGTGAGCCAGACCTTCCCAGAAGGCGGCGCGGGACTTTCCGCAGAAGCCCTCCGGCCTTCTGAGATCAGGAGGGGGAAAACACACAGACACAATGAACCGTCGATCCTCAGAAAATATAGGAAAATATGGGAAATGGGGCGGAAGACAAAAACCTAGAAAATATGAGAAAATATGGGAATTCCTTTTATTTGTGTGTATTTATTTGTGTCCCAGGGCCCCTTCATGAGAAGCCTTCTGTTTGTCGGAAAGCTTACAGAGTTTCGCAGACTGCTGGAGACATGTGCCTTCTCAGGAGGCCCGCCCTCTCTGCCTCCACCCCCGGGCGCGCCGCGGTTGCCTCGCGAGCTAAGTTGCCGATGTGAGTCAGCATCGGCGCTGGTCCATCCGTGGTCGAAACCTGGCCAGACCGGGTCAAATCCCGCGTAGGATCGCAGAGTCCCATCCAATGTGGCATAACCCCGCTGATCTGGCATAATCCCCCTTGGTCTGGCGTACAGTGAGCGGCTTGAATAAGGAACGCTTACTTTTCAAAAGGGGCTCGGTCGTTCCATGTATCGTTATGCATTCTGTAGTATTGATCGTTCTTTATGCGTTATTCCCTGGAGAAAAGGGGCTTCGTTCCTGATTTGTCGTTCATTAGGTCAGGCCGATGACTGTAGTCCCAGGTTTAATCCGGCCCAGTTTGGCTCAATGGCACCTGAGTCGGGCTTGGTATCCTCTGCTAACAGGTCTTCCGCAGACCCATAGGAGTTAATGCAGGATGATGATTGAGAAATTACCGAGGGTCGTGTTCACGCGGCGGCGCTTAGGATGATGATCAGAAAAACTGTCCCCTGACCCGGCGATTGATTTCAGATCTTTCCCTCCCGCCCTCGTCGGACGCGCCCCTGAACAGTCGACGGGCCAGACGGGGCCGAGGCGAGCGCAAGCCGACAAAGATTCGGACCCTCTTTTGTAAATCGTTCCCCCTGCTTTTTTTCTTATCGTCCACTTACGTTACAGTCAATGCGCCTAGTAAGGGCCCGCGCATCCATCTAGAGTACCCTTGTGTCCTTGCTTCTGAGGCCCATCCTCTGCCGTTCTCGCTTGTCGCCCGTCGCCCAAAGTGTCCCGACTTCGGCCTACAAGGATCGTGCGCCCTTACCACTCATCCTCAATACACGTTTCGATTGTGTGAGCCTGGGTGCGCACGTGCACGCCAGGGTCTGGGCCCAAGCTGGGCCCGCAGAAGCGGTGTTGTATACCCTCCGCAGAAGGTGGTCGTGGCGTGTGGATGCAATGACAGTGGACACCCTGACAATCCGATCACTGAATGAAACATGTTGAGAATAAAAGGTAGGAGAGTTGTCCTAACAATGTCCAACACATCTGTTTCACAAGTCGTGGTCGGCCCGTGCGCCCCTCCCCGGCGGAGTTGCCCAGGACGGTGGCCCGGCAGCCTCGACCCGGGGTGGGGCGCGCCCGGCGGCCGCCCCGCCCCGGAGCTGCTGGTGCACGTGGAGAAGGCGTGGCGGCGCGCACGGTCGGAGGAGGAGGCGGTTCTCTCTTGGAGCCTGGGCCTCCCGGGCGCCATCGAGGATGAGGGGCGTGGCCTCACTTCTCTGGGCCTCCTCGATGGAGTTGGAGTAGATGGGGTCGGAGGATAGCGCCGCATCGCCGAGGCATCGGCGATGCATCGGCGCTGCACCGGCGATGCATCGGGGATGCGGCTCGATGAAGAGCCCGATTTGCTTCACGCCGACGTCGCCGATGCATCGCCAGCGTCGCTGGTGCATCGCCAAAGCATCGCCGATACATCGGCGATGCATTGGCGATGTGGCGCAATCCTTCGACCCCATCTACTCGGACCGCATCTAGGAGGCCTCTAACTTCGCTCTCCGTTTTGGTTTGCATTCCAGTGAGCCCGCATGCAGGGGAGGCCCGTGCCAGGGAGCACCCTGCTTGCCTCCAGGGTACCCTGGGTTTCTTGGTTTTGATGGCTGTCCAGTAGAAGGTGTGACGTTCCCACAGCACCAATGTGTGGACGTCCTGGGGTCTCAGGGTTGGGTTTCTTGCGGAAGGTTTCCTGTGGTCGGGCCCCTACTGTAGCAAGGATGGGCAAACTTCCCAAGGTACCCTTGCGTCCTTGCCTCCTCGGCCCATCCTTGGCCACTTTCGTTGGCCGCGCCCCGCTCGAAAAGCTTCGAAGTGGGCGTCCAAGGCCTGGGCATCCTCCTCGCGCATCCTTCTCACACGGGCCGGCTGTAATTGACGTGGCCTCACGTCGCTCTCTGTGTTTGCTTTAGGGGGTTTGGGCGGTTTGGTGTGAGACCTCCACAGGGCAGAGCCCCTGATCCTCATGTTTCTGTCCCTCCTAACTTATGCTCCCTTCCAAAAGGTTAGGGGTCCCTGTATTGCTTACCAGATGAGGAGGCGCTTCTCTGTGAATACATGCCTCCCAGGTGGGTTCCAAGAGCAGATGGTCAGAAGAAGAATAGGTGCCCATACCGCTGCTCTTCCCTCGTTTTGCCCTGCTTTGGCCTCCTGGGAGGCCCTCGTTGTCACCGCTGGATTCGCTTCGAAGTTCTGGTCGGAACGCACCTCAAGAGAGGTCCAGTGAGTAGCGGTATCGATACCGTGCGGTTTCCCCAGATGGGTTCGAAGGATAGGTCCGTGAAGTGCTTTCGGGCCATCTCACCCGAGTTCTGCGGTGCCCCCAGGCACATCGACTGTAGAGCTGCTTACTATGAGGTTGGTCACTCTGCCTTTCTTATACCAATATCACATCAGGGAGGCGGTGATCCACAGCTGGCGCCCTCCTGCCAAGCCCAGCGTGTCTGCCCGGAGCTGGAGTTCGCTTCCCCAGGATCTATCCGCATCGTCGATGAATCGGCGATGCGACTCGATGTGGAGCCCGATTTCCTCCACGCCGACGGCGCCGCTGCATCGCCGACGTCGCTGGTGTCTCGCTAATGCATCGCCGGTGCGGCGCGATCCTCCGACACGATCTACTCTGGCCGAGTCTGGCAAGTTTATGTTTCGTGGGGGACTCGCGGCCCTCTTGGGATCCTCTGGGGGATATTGGAATGTGTTGGTCGTCCTCCTGTGGCTCCCTCGGGAGTTCCCTGGGCCCTCCTGGAGCTGTCTCGGGGGCGGGGGGCTGCCTCGCGGGCCGAGGCGGGCCTCCCTGGGCCATCCTGGATGGCGTCGATCAAAAGGTCCTCCTCCTCCTCCTCCTCGTCCTCCTCCTCCTCCTCCTCCTCCTCCCTTTTCCTCCTCCCTCCTCCTCCTCGGCCATCTCCATCGCCTTTTGCGCCATGGGCCCCTGTTGGGGCTCTCTTGGGTCATACTAGTGCCAGATCGAGGTTCCAGAGCCGCTTCGGACACGACACGGGGAGAAGGCAGCAGTCTGATTGTGTTCCCCTCTGTTGGATTATGGCCTCCTGGGGAAGCCCTGAGGGGGCTTCGAGAGCACTTGGAGCCGTCTTGTGAACCTCCTGGGGCCTCTTGAAGTCATATCGGCTATATTGAATTATCTTCGGCTATATTGAGCCATCTTGGGTGCTACCTTGCAGCGTCGGGGGCCCTCTTGGAGCCATCTGGGCGATCTGCCGCCTCGCGGATCCCTCTCGAACATCCTCAGGAAGGGGGGGCGTGATTGGAATATCGGGTTTGGAGGACGAGCCAAGAATACCGTCAGTCCACTTGCGCCCAGGGCTGGCGGGATAAAACATTTCTGGTTGAGACTGGTCTGGTTTACCACATCGGTCTTGGGTTCTAGGAACGTGTTTTCTTGTAATTGGAACAATTGCTTGTTTTAAGAACTTCTCTTGGTAGGCATCTCAGAATGCCGGGATGGTCTGTGCTCAGCACTCCCCGTTTGTCACCTTTCTCCACTTTTTGTCCGCCTTGATCCGTCGCTACCTCAGGCGCACGCCGCTTGGAGTCGGAGTCGACGCCGGTGTCGGCTCCCAAGGTTGAGGCCTGAACCACAGGCCAACATTGAGCGATTTATCCTGTCGGATGGCGGAGATCTCTCAAGGCGGAACGACACTCGCGGTTTCAGAGAGCACACTCCACGTTTACAAGTCAGGAATCCGCTGTACTCGTCCTCCTCCTCCTCCTCCTCCCCCTCATGATCCTCAGCCGCCGTGACAGCCCGAGGAAACCATCACAGCAGCATCTATGAGGTCCACCAGGGGACCCATCTGGCCTTTCGCCCGAACGCACGCCAGACATCGGCGGCCCGCTGGCCGATGACACTCCGCGCTCTTGGATTTAACCCTCTCCATGTTGCTGGCTCGCGGATGGAAGGAATAATCAGGGGTTGCCCCAGTATGGACATACTTGCATTGGCTGGACCCCGTTCGAACCACAGAATGAGCGAGGAACTCTTGGGAAGGAGAACTGTGGGGCATCATGTTCTTGAGGCAGAAGCATAAGATGGCTTCTAGACGAATCGGCCGACAGGTTGCCCAGTCATTTGTCACACTTTCTCGCAGCAGAGAATTCGCAGATTGTTGTCCAGCCCCCCAGGGGCCATCGGAACAGCTATGGCCGTGCGATTTGTACGAGGCCCAATGGGCGTCAAGACGAGAGACGTATACTACCCCCCGCAGCCGAAGTACGCGAATGAGACCTCCAACCATTTCCAGGCGGTGCGTGTACTTACCAGGTGGTACGACTCCGTGCTTTCGGCGCCTCCCATCGTGTATGTTGGCTCCATCAACGGCCAGGGCATCAGTCGCGCGGCAGGCTCGTTGCAGAAGGTTGTCACCAATGCAGTCGGAGTTGGCCGCAGTCGAGAGCATCCAAAAATGGAGCAGGCGACCGGCTACGACAGATTCGTGAGCAGCATCGTTTGTTGGCAGTGAATACCCGACCGGCAATCCACATTATATGGATCACTTGGTGGACAGAGTTGCATTGATGTCATGTGCGTTTCCTGAGGCATGACGGTCTCTGTGACGCTATGCCACTCATGATGCCGACTTGGAGCTTCGATCCAGGCGCACGGTGGACGACCGCCCAGAGACCACGTGCCACTATATGGAAATGATATGCGTGAAGAGATATGCCCCGCGGGAAAAGACAGTCCGCCCACATTGGAACATGGGCGCCATCATGGAGGCAGCGCTCAAAGGAGACCAACGCCCTCAATTCTCGTGCGCCGTTCAGGCTAAGCTGCTGGAAGGGGAAGATACGAGGGAAGAGTTGCTGCCGCGAGGACGACCAGACGAGACCTTTGCATACGTCAATGCCTTGCCCATGCAGGTAAGACTGCGCTTCTTCGGTGCTTAGGTGACGATCGACCAGAACTACCAGCCAACAAGAAGAACGGGCCAACTTGCCATCGAAACGCACTCATGCGGAACCTGACAAACTGGCAATCTGTGAAGCTGGCGCAGAAAGATCTCTGGCGCGTCGAACGTTACTTCCGACGGACACAACGACGACGAGTTGTGCCGGCTGCTACTTCACCGGTGGAGCTCAAGATGATGCGCCTCGACCCCGAGATGAACCTTGTGTGCGCAGGATATGGGTTGGGACTTGATGTACCTATGCCAGATATGGAACGCTTCTCTAAATTCATGGACTTTGCCTTCCTGCAAATCCGATCGGCCATTCGGAGCCCCGATGGCGCGGCATCGCAGTCACGGCGCCCAGCCGAGGAAGAGTGCCACTCCTGGCCCGAAGGGTCGTCGCACACCGCATGAGGTGAGCGCGCTGGGCAAGGCATCGATGCCCTGATATTCTTCGCGTTGCCCACGAACGTTTCGAGCTTGGCTTCGCGCGGGGCAAGGGGCGCGAGGGCGCCATTTTCGTGGGCCAGATTTCTTAGCTGGCACGCGCGCGGGGCGGGCGGATGCTTGGCCCTCAGCTATATGGACCTGAGCAGCGTTTTCGCTGGTGGAAGGTGGGAGGAGCCAGAGGAAACGGCCCGCTCGCACGCCAATCCTGAGGGCGTTGGCTTCTGCATCCAGCGCCTCAAGCTCAGCGCGATTTTTCCTGCGGCTCTCGACGGGGGATGGGGGCCCATAGGGGGCCCGTTCGCCGCCCAGCTCCGGGGCGCGTTCGCGCGACCGCTCGCGATATTGAAATGCGCGATCCAGCGCGGCAAGGCGGTGGGAAGTGGTCGCCTGCCCTGGGGGGTGGACTTGCGCCGACGACGTCTTCCAGGCTCATCTGGCCCCTGTTCCGATCCCCTGAAATACCTGCGCGTTGACCGGTTGCGACGGCGGTCTCGATCAACAACGCGTGGGCAGCAGAACAGGGGGTACATGTGCATCTCCACGATGCGGAGGCTGCGACCTGGAAGCGGCGAGCGCGATCCTACCCAGAGTTTGTTCCAGGCATGTGCAAGGACGCAGCGCGCTATCTCGGCCCGATGTTGAACGTAGGCCAGTCGCCTGGCGTCGAGATTTTCGACGCAGCGCTGCAAGCGCAGACTTTTTCATTCGGTGGGCAGAGTTTGGTTTCTTTCTCTTCCGTGCCGATGGCTGTGGACATTGTCATTGCATTTTGCAGTCTTGTCGGGCCTGGGGCCTCTCCTGCTTGCCCCAGTCCACAATGTCCGACTCGGCGTCAGGTTGCCCGATTCGGTCGACGAGCGACTCGGGACCAGGCCGCGACGCATCACGAGGACGAGGTCCGATCGACGGCGACGTAGCAGTTTCTAGCGCACTGGAGGACCTGAGCTTATTGCTCGTCGTTTGCACGGTCGCGTGGCTCGGGCTAAGGGCCCTGAAAGGCACTCGCAGAAGTTATGCCTTCTCTTTTGGTTTCTAGAAGTGCCGCGTCCATCCCCGTGGCTCCGCAGGCTCCAGAAGGATTTTCAAGGGGGCAGCCCGGGACCTGGGAGGGGGCAAGAAGTGCGCAGCTACGTCGGCCTGGTCCCCGGCATGTTCGACGCAGGTGTTCCTGAGGGGCTCCCTCAGCTAGGTTTCACGGAGATCAGAGCTGGAACCCATTCGCAGTCTGTCCCGCCGCCGACTTAAACGAAGACGGTGGTTGACACAGTGCTCAAAAGCGCTGAAGTTCATCAGAATTGGCCGCGCGACTGGCAGCTCGAGGAGGAAGGGCAAATATGTGGTTGCACCTTCAGAGCCCGACTTGATCTTGTAAACCATTTGAGAAAAATACATTTGGTCCGAAATCTTCGCCCTGGCCCCCCTTACAGAAGCGCGCGTCGCGCGCGGGCAGACATTCAGCCCCCTGGGGAACGCCTGCAGACATCTCCAACGAGCTCCCCGAACATGCCAGTGTCCTAACAGGGGCACCCTCGCGCTTCTCCCAGTCCGGCCCATGATCCCCCTGCAGTGCGCTCTTTGTGACTATAGAGCAGCCGACCTGGATGGCCTACGCTGGCGCCTCCGTAGCCATCTTCCTCGAGAAGAGAAGCGTTGCCGCCATCCGAGAGCCGCGCTGACTCCGCGGCAGCAGCGGGAGCGCGCGTCGGACCTAGGGCCGCCTGGCTGGCTTAAACCACCCGCGTTTGCCGGGGGGGCACCGGGCCCGTAGAAACGGAGCTCAGGCCGCAGACCCAAAAACGCAAGGCTGACGGCGAGCTCATCGTGAAGCTTGTCGTGCTGATCGCTCGCTCGGCGCTTTCAGACAGCAGGGCCATCGCAGCGCGGGCGGCGACGGCGCACGCAGCGCGGGCGCTTCCAGTCATCGAAGGAGGCATTTCAGACACGAAGGAGATCGCTGGTCGGCGGTGCCAGGAGATACCCCCGGACCTGGCCGAGAAAAGAAAGAAGAGGGAGGCCGTGGAGTTCAAAGGTCGAGGCCCCCCGCCCCTAAGCGCATTCATCGGCGGACTGATATGGCTGGCGCAACAAAAGACACAGCGGGGCATGGAGCAGAAGGACTTCTACCTCGCGCGCGCGACGCAGCTCGCAAACCACGCCGTTGGCGAGAATATTCTTCGAAGCGCAACAGGGGCAATAACGCTCTCGAGAAACAAGGCCGCCTGATCGCGGCGATCGATTCCACTTGCGAGCTCGGCCGCAAGTTGATCCCGATGCTGCGCACCGCGGTGGTGGACATGAAAGGCGAAGTTTTTGTCGGCCCTCCCCGCGGCCCACTGGAGCGAGACGCAGCGAAGTTGCTCAATCAGTTGAAGAAGTGACTGACATAACTCGTAGAGATCAGCGGACAGCTGGAGTGGAACATCCACCGGCGCTTCGAGATAGCGTTCGGTTTCGAGAGTTGATCGCACGGGGCAGAGTGCCGCCCAATGTGCTTCAACATGGGACTGCGCCCACCCTCCTCCTCTTCCCTTCCCGACAGCCTACGGCCCTTCCCTCCCGACCGCTCCCGCCTTTCTGTCAGGGTCAACGCCCAGAGGACGAGGGCGAGGAAGGGGGGGGGAGGGGACAGGGCCGAGGGATCTCACAGGGGAGAGAGTTTGATCAGGGGGGCGGGTTGTTTGTAGCCGTTTTCCTGTCTCCTTCCGACGTTTCCAACGCCCCCCCCAAAGTGCGCAGGCCCCCCGACCCCCTCTGCTTTAGCAGTGCGGTCCTGGCCTTCAGGCTCCGTGCTGTTGAACTGGGGGCGGGGTGTTCGGGGGGGTCGCGTGCCTTCCCGCGTCGTCTGCAATGGGGGGGTACCGAGGATGGGCGCGCGTAATTCATCGGTTTCCTGGAGGCGCCCCCACGGCTGAGCGCCTTCAATGGGGAGGGATTGCTTTTGAGGGGGCCGCACGGCCCCGCCCGGAACCGGGGCGCCCCAAGGTAGCCTTTTTTAAATAATGAAACGCCAATCAGAAATCCAGGCAGAGCACGCTGCATAGGTTTCGATTGTCCCCCAGCCGAGCAGACACGCGAACTCCACGAGCCTGGTTTCGACCCGATCCTCCTTATTTGTTGCATTGGAGGCGAGCAGGATATGCAGGAGGATAGTGAAGAGGAGGAGGTGGTGGAAGAGGTGGGAGAGCAGGGAGGAGTGATGAGAGGGGTCAGGAAACAGACGAGGGGGCAGGGAGGAGGAGGGAGTGGGAGGAGAAGGAGAGGATAGTCATATCGAGAGAGATCTATAGATAGAGTGATCTATATATATATATATATAGAGAGAGAGGGTGTGACAAACAACTGGCGAGGTGGGGCAGGGACACAGGGGGGAGGACGACGTAGCAAAATTGTAGATACGACGACGACGAGGACGACGCCGACGACGACGACAACGACCGACGCTTCCCCCCTCGTCGGTGCCAGCGCCCCCCGGGCGCGAGGCCTCGCCCGAGGAGGACATCGGACTCCGGGCGCGCCAGGGGCGGAGAGGAATACGAGGGAGAGCAGGAGGGCCCACCATCCCTCTCCCCAGTGCCTTCCTCCTCCTCCTCCTTCTCCTCCTCCTCCTTCTCCTCCTCCTCCTCCTCCTCCTCCTCCCCCTCCTCCTCCTCCTCCTCCTCCTCCTCCTCCTCCTCCTCCTCGTCCCCTCCTCCTCGCTTCCTTCCTCCTCGTCCTCCTCCTCTTCCTCCTCCTCCTCCTCCTCGTGATCGACTTGTTGGTACCAAGCCAGACACGTGGAGGCACGGTCAAGGGGTTCTTAGCGTGTGTGTGGTTTCGGCTCCTGCGAAGCCGAAGCCGTTGGAACGCCAAGCAGCTCATGGGACCACGCCCTCAGCAGGGTCGGGCGAATGAGCCCTCAGATATACACGGTGAGTACCAGTTTTACAGGATATTCGCTGAGTGCGGAGCGTTGAGCGTGTCTAGGCGTATTCCGAACTACACGTAAGGAACAGGAGGAATAGGACCATGACCGTGAATGCAGATTAATCGAGGCAACTCCAAGGAAATCCCAGGACACCCGGGTAATTCCAGGTCAATCCGGAGATCTCCAAGACATGTTGGACAGAGATCTCCAGGGAAATTTGGAACAATTCATGGCCGCTCCAGCGCGAGAGTCGAGGGTCGGCAGAAGTCGTGAAGCCCTTAACGACCCTCCTCTCCGAACCTCCTCCCCGCCCCTCACCTCCGCAATTCTCTGTTTCCCCCTGTCCTTTTTTGCCCTCGCCCCCCCGGCCTCCGCCCTCCTCCTCCCTCCTGCTCCTCCTCCCAGCCAGCGCTCCTGCCCCTGCTCCTCCCTCTTGCTCCTCCTCCTCCTCCTCCTCCCTCCTGCTCCTCCTTCCTGCTCCTCCTGCTCCTCCTCCTCTCTCCTGCCCCACACTTGGAGGAGACAGCCCAGGCTTGAAAGCCAGCAGGAGCGCTGGGAGAGGACCGGTCATGACGCCGCCGACGGGGCGAGGCGAGACGAGGGCTGGAGGCCCACCCGAAAAAACCCACGCACGAGCGGAGCTCGACGAAGTGGGCCGGAAGTCGGCGGCGAGCCTCCGCCTCCTCCTCCTCCTCCTCCTCCTCCTCCTCCTCCTCCTCCTCCTCTCTGCCCAGTCGCCGACCCTCGTGGAGCCTGCACGCACAGATCGAAGCGGGCTCCCCTTGCGTTTTTAATCGGAAGGAGGACGAAATGGGTAAGGGGGGGAAGTGAGGAGGAGAGGGCCTTCTCAGGAGGCTCGGAAGTCCGCGGGGCATCTGAGAAGATTTTTATATCAGCCTTCCCCGAAGACAAACAGAAACACTTCTCAGAAGGCGCGAGAGGGCTCCTGAGAGGTCCCGCCGCCTTGAGGAGGCCTTCGCCTTCTCGCTTCCCCCTCCAGCTCGCCGCCAAGTAAAGGTCAGGATCTCCAGGGCCGTTTGCCAAGGGCGCCCTCGAGGGCGCGAAGTCATTCGCGCCTCGCGCCTCGCGCTTCGGCTCCGATTCCTCCTCATCCTCCTCTTCTCCCCTGGGAGGCGGCGCGAGAGCCCGAAGTTGTTCGCGCTTCGCGCAGTCGCGCAGCGCGAAGCGCGAAGTTGGGAGCCCTTCTTTGCCGTCTGGCTGCTCCTCTGCTCCGCCCCCCGGGGTCCGTCGGGAACCCGAGCCTCCGAGCCCACGGCCCCCCTTTGCTGCAGGGGGGGCCCGGGGGCCCGTAGGCGCGTGGGCTCGAGGCGGGCCGGTGCCTCCTGCAGGAGGAGAGCTGCAACAGCAGGCAGAGGAGCGTGTGGAGGCGACTTCTGGATGAGCTGTGGCCCACTTTTGGGCATGCTGGGCGTATATTTGGGTGTTCGTCCAGAGTCCGCCTGTAGGGGGACACATGCCCAGCCTAATCGTGGGCACAAGTCCCAGGACCCTTATATATATGCATATACAAAAATGTCTGAATCTATATATACACACATATGAATATACATACATATACATATATGCACGTACATATTCATATATACATATATATGCACATATAGATGTAATCATTTTCATATTTGTGTATATATATACAAGACTGCAGTTGCCCTTCGCGCCATGCGCCTTGGTCCTTGAAGTTTGGTATGCGGGCGGAATAGCAGGAAGGTCAAGCCGACAATTTAGCGATAACTCCTGGTTGCCTTTTCTGGCATCGCCGCTATAATGATGCTATTCGTTATCCTTCCTCCATGCGTATTTTTCCTTAATTTCGCCACTCCCTGCGCATCCTCCCCATCCTCCTCAGCTCTTTTTTGCGGAGGCTCCTCCTTGGAGAGCCTCTAGGGGCCTTACAAAAGTTGTTTCAGGCTATCTTAAGGCCTTCTGGAGACCTCCTGGGCGTATTCTGGGGGCCTCCGGGGGCTTCCTCGGGCCACCCTGCCTCCAACCGCGGTCTCCCTGAACGACCGAATCACGATTTGGAATTCTTTGGAGGGTGTCTTTGGGCCATCTTGGGCCGCCATGGGGCTCTCTGAGGGCCATCTTGGACCCGTGTTGTGCCGTTTTGGGGCTCTCTTGGACTGCCTGGAAACCCTTTCGGATGGTTGTGGGGCGATTGTGGAGCCTCCCAGGCGGCTTCGGACGCCCAGAAGACCGCCGTCTTGGAGCGTCGGGAAGCCCAAAAGAGGAGAACCCTGAAATTCACCAACAACCAACAGAACATCAATGATTTTTGCCTCGGGGGGCCTTCTTGTCAGTGCTCTTGGAGGCCTCTTTGGGGCCGTCCTGGAGGCCTCTTGGGCCATCTTGAGGTCACGTCGGTCACTCTTGGAGCGCTCTTGTGCTGTCTTGGGGGTCTCTGGGACGTCTCCGATGACCCCCCTGATCGCACTGGGTGTGCTGGGAAGGCTTGGCAAAACGCCATGTGAGGCCCGGTGGCCGCTTCGAGGCCCGTCTGGAGGATCCCAAAGCGTCAGATCCCGGAAGTCCGTTTTTTTTTTTGGGGGGGGGACGGGTTTTCCCCCCGCCCGGGCTTACAAGAATATAGGAAGAGGAATATGTGTATGTGTATGTAGATATGTATGAACTCATACATATATCTATATATATATATATATATATATATATTCCAGATCTTCTGGGTTCTGTTCGTCTTCCCCCCCCGCGCCCCATACGTTCCCACATTTTTCCCTGTGGGAGCCGAGCGCGTGCGCAAACAACAACCGAGCCGAGCGGGGCGGGCCGCTCCGCCGAGCCCCCAGAGGCGGCCGCCCTCGCGGGGGAGGCGAGGGGCCTCGAGGAGGAGGAGGAGAAGGAGGAGGAGCAGGAGGAGGAGGAGGAGGAGGAGGAGGAGGCGGGGGGGAGAAGACGGAGGAGGAGGAGGAGGTCTTGGAGATGCTGGGAGGGGAGAATGTCAGGCGATCGCCAACATGGATCAAGGGGGCGAGGATTAGCGACGGGTCCCGTTTCCATGGGAAGTCGTGGATTCCAGCCGCCGAGCGAGGCGGCACCGGCCGCAATTTGGTGACGGGCACTTCCCCCGATCCATGGACTTGACGACCGCGCGCCAAATCCATGCATCACTAATCCATGTTTGCGCGCCCCCGAATTACCTCCGGGGCCCAGGGACACGCAGACAGGTAGGCACAAGTCCCAGGATCCCCCACACATCTTTTTCCATGCCTTCTGGGTGTTTTGTTCGTCTGCGCCCCCCCGCGTCCCATCTGTTCCCACATGTCTTCCTGGTGTCTGTGTGTTGTGTTGTTCCCCTCCTGACGTCTGCCCCATCCACGCGTGGGAGCCGGTGCCGCGCCTGCAGGAGGTGCGCCGCAGTATACACCTCAGAGTGCCGCGCCCTCCCCGGGCGACCACGTCCCGTCGTGTGGAAAACTCGCGGCGGGAGGCCATTTTCGCTGTCTTCGGCTTCTGGGGGCCCCTGCTGGGCCTCAGGACCGTCCAGAAACGTTTCAGGATGCATGAACAAAACCAGCAACATATACATGTGTATATAATATATACCCCACACATACACTCATACAAACATGCATGCATACATACATACATACATGCATACATGCATACATGCATACATGCATACACATGTACATACATACAGACATACAGACATACATACATGCATGCATTCATTCAAACATAAATACAGATAGACATGCATACAGACAGGGACAGACAGACAGACAGACAGACAGACAGACAGACAGACAGACAGACAGACAGACAGACAGACAGACAGACACACGTACATACATACATACATACATACATACATACATACATACCTACCTACCTACACACAGACGTACGTACAGACATGCATGCATGCAGGCAGACATGCATACATACATACATATACATACACATGCACATAACCAAACTCATAAACATAATCGTACACATTTACATATACGTATGCATATATATATATATATGTATATGTATATTTATATATACATATATATATATATGCATACGTATATACATATATATATATATATATATATGTATACAAGACTGCAGTGGCGCTTCGCGCCATGCACCTTGGTCCTTGCAGTTTGGTGTGCAGGTGGAATAGCAGGAAGGTCAAGCCCACCATTTAGCGATAACTCCTGGTTGCCTTTTCTGGCATCGCCGCTACAATAATGCTATTCGTCATCCTTCCTCCATGCTTCTTTTTCCTTATTTTCGCCATGCCCTGCGCATCCTCCCCATCCTCCTCAGCTCTTTTTTGCGGAGGCTCCTCCTTGGAGAGCCTCTAGGGGCCTCACAAAAGTTGTTTCAGGCTATCTTAAGGCCTTCTGGAGACCTCCTGGGCGTATTCTGGGGGCCTCCGGGGGCTTTCTCGGGCCACCCTGCCTCCAACCGCGGTCTCCCTGAACGACCGAATCACGATTTGGAATTCTTCGGAGGGTGTCTTTGGGCCATCTTGGGCCGCCATTGGGGCTCTCTGAGGGCCATCTTGGACCCGTGTTGTGCCGTTTTGGTGCTCTCTTGGACTGCCTGGAAACCCTTTCGGATGGTTGTGGGGCGATTGTGGAGCCTCCCAGGCGGCTTCGGACGCCCAGAAGAGAGAACATCAATGATTTTTGCCTCGGGGGCCTTCTTGGGAGTGCTCTTGGAGGCCTCTTTGGGGCCGTCCTGGAGGCCTCTTGGGCCATCTTGAGGTCACGTCGGTCACTCTCTCTTGTGCTGTCTTGGGGGTCTCTGGAACGTCTCCGATGACCCCCCTGATCGCCCTAGGTGTTCTGGGAAGGCTTGGCAAAGCGCCATGTGAGGCCCGGGGGCCGCTTCGAGGCCCGTCTGGAGGATCCCAAAGCCCCAGATCCCGGGAGTCCGGTTTTGGGGGGGGGGGATGGGTTTTCCCCCCGCCCGGGCTTTTTAAAATATAGGAAGAGGAATATATCTGTATGTGCATTCATAGAAAATAGCAGATTAGAAAATAGCAGATAAAAAACAAATGGATGAAAAACCCGTCCCGGGGAAGGGGTCGAGACCTCTTGGGTCGACGTCCTACAAAGATCGTGGCGTCGGGCGTCTGGGTCTCCAGGCTTTCGCATCTGGCGACAGTGACCAGCCACCGACGGCAGGGTGCATGGGAGCGGTCACGAGCGGTCCCAGAGGCGTTGCAGCAAGCAGGAGCCAGGGTACAGCAGGTTCGCGTCGTGCCGACCGGCGTCGACCCCGCCGCTGGCGTTCAGCATCGAACGCCGCTGGCGACCGAGAATCGGCCGATGATGAACGAGCTGACGTTTCGGGAGCGGCCGATTGTTCAAGGAACCAACGCCGAACTCGGCGCGTCACGGACCTGCAGTGTACACCGACTTCTGGCCTTGTGCAGCCACGACTCCTCGCTCTCCGTGCATGTGCGTTGCAGGGCAGTCTCAACGCTTGGCCCGTTGGCACTCCCGTCGCGAGACTGCAGACCCCCAACTCGAGAAAGGATTTCGAACGTTGGAGATACCGAGTTCTGAAGCGTCTCCAACCGAATCTCGACAACGTGAGCATCGAGGTTGTAGCCCGAGGTTTCCGAGGCGCCGGAAGAGGGCGAGGCCCTGCTGCCCCCCACCGAGGAGAGGTAGAGGAGCCGCGCGAGCAGCGAATCGGAGTGCGCGAGGCACTCCGCCGAGAGGAGGACGAAGTCCCTTGAGCGCAAGCTGCTCGCGGTAGCCCCATGGAGTCAGCCGACTCCTCCTGATTGGAGAGGCCTGACGGCTGGTGCCGCCGACCCTGATCGAAAGGGCTAAAAGTGGGGGGAGGAAGCGGAGGATGAGGAGGAGGAAGAGGAGGAGGAGGAGGAGGAGGAGGAGGAGGAGGAGGAGGGGGAGGAAGAGGAGGAGGAGGAGGAGGAGGAGAAGGAGGAGGAGCAGGAGGAGGAGGAGGAGGAGGAGGAGGAGGAGAACGCCCCATGGAGTCAGCCGACTCCGCCTGATTTCTGGCCTCCTGGGGCGGTACGTTCCTCGTGCGCCTGTCACCGCCAGGGGTCAGTCACTTTCACGGGTTCACTGACGAAGCGAGACCGGCTCGCCAGTAATGTTCCATGTGAAAAAACACTATGCGCCCTTCTCCTCTTGGCTCCCTCGATCGTTGGAGTGGTCGGTGAGGTTATCCGTGTTCCGCTGGAGGAGAATGGCGGATGCGCTCAATCCGCCTTTTGCGTTTCGGCGGACGTCAATTTAACAGCCTGGCATCCTCGCATGAGGTCGCGGGTCAGCGCGTGGCACGCCAGTGGCCCGCGTAAGCCGCGGCGTAAGGTCCCGAGATCATGGTGCGCAAGGCCTGATTCTCTTCGTCGCGCACACGGGCTACCCCCCTTGCCAGCTTGAAATGTATATATACCCTTACGTTTGGCATCACATGACCCCAGTGCCGGTGTCGATCTTGGGGATGCCGCCATGCTCTGAGGGGCGCATCTTTGAGATTATCGGAGCCTTGAGCTTGCCGATATCAGGGGCAAGGACCCAGATATCCGGCCGCTCCAATGTTTGCGACGCGTGGGCCCCGGCCCCCCCCCCTTAGATGGGATGTGTTCCACGACTCGGCGGGCCCCCCCCCAGATGGGATGGGGCGGGGACGACTTCGCGCCGTCGTCGCCGTCGTCGTCGCCGTCGTCGTCGTCGTCGTCGCCGCCGCCGTCGTCGTCGCCGTCGTCGTCGTCGTCGCCGTCGTCGTCGTCGTCGCCGTCGCCGTCGTCGCCGTCGTCGTCCCTCCCTCTTCCCCCCTCCCTCCTCTCCCCTCGCCCCCACATGTCTTCCTTGCTCCATCCCCCCTGTCTCACGCTCTCTCTGGAACGAAGAGGCGGAAAGGGAGGCCGAGGCAGACGACGACGGCGGCGAAGACGCCGACGACGACGATGGCGATGTTTCTCAGATCGCAGACGCAACCTCGGCACGCGCCCCCACCACCCCACACCCACAGGCCAAAGGCCACACCACACCCGCGGGCGGGGGGGGGGGCCCAGGCCCATCGATGGGGGGGCCCAATACCATCATCATGGTCCTGGTGGATGGGGGAGCCGGGGAGCCCGGGGCATGGATCATGTGTAGGGCCCGCTTCTCGCCCCGAGTCGTTGCTCGGACGGCCCCGAGGCCCAGCGGGGGCCTCCAGGGGCTCACCGCGCCCCGCGGGACCCGCCGCTCCCGGCCTCCTCTGACAGCGCCGGCTCGCTGGGGGCCCGCGGCGGCGGCCGGCCACCCCCGCGGCGGCGGCCGCGCGCCTGCGGGGGCGGCGGCCCCGCCGCGCAGCGCCCGGCGCCCCCCTCGCGCAGCGCGGGCGCTCGCTGCCCGGCGGCGGCCCCGAGCGCGGCGCCAGCCCGGGGCAGGTGCTCCACAGCGGCGTGGGCATCTTCGTCGTCACCGAGGCGGCCCCCCCTCGTCCGCGGCAGTGCTTAGGCATCGCTCAGACGTGCGCAGTTGCTGCTCGGAGAAGAAGAAGAAGAAAAAGAAGAAGAAGAAGAAGAAAAAGAAAAAGAAGTAGAAGAGGAAACGCCATGAGCAGAAGCTTGTGGCGCTTCCCGCGGATTTCTTGGATCCGCGCTGGTGCTGAGCCTCCACGGGTGGCGCCTCTGGCGGCGCCCCTGGCGCGCTCCGCGCGCCAGGGAGGGGGTTCAGTACAGCTTCAAGGAGTCCGCGCGGAGCGCCAACACTTTATGGTGATCGAGTTGATTTATCCACTTCTACGCACGTGTGCCTTCAGACGGGGGTCAATGCAAACGGGGTTGAGTCAAAGCGCTGGATCCGGCAGGATCCTGCAGGGCCAGATTCGCATTGACCCAGGCTTAGGGGCATGATCTTGCAGGATCTTGCAAAGCTTGACTGGTCTGGGTCTGGATTGACTCGCGTTAGTAATCGCACCTGCGTGGCACTGGGGCGGAAATCGCGTGAACTTCGTGAGGGCGCGAGTTCGCTGGCTTAGTACCTTGGAGCCCGGCTGATTGTAAGGCCTGTGTACGACGTGCAAAACCCTAGCAACGAGCCTTGCGATAATCAATGAACATTACATTGCGAGCCTTCCCGGGGTTTTGGGTCTCTTTTGGGCAGTTTACGGCCCTTCTTTGGCCGTCCTGGGGCCCTCTTTTTGATTGCGAAGACGAACGCATTCGTGAGGGGTCGGCTCGCGGCACGCGTGGCGCCCATCCCGAAGCCTCTTAGGCTCGGCGGCGGGTGGGCGGGTGTCACCATTTTGCCCTGTGAGCAGGGTGACACAGGCGCGATGAGGGGCGCCGGCGATTGGAGAGAAAACATCGGGTGCCTTCATGACCCTCACCGTCTCCGCCGACGGCCTTGAGTAGACCCGAGGACCTGGGCTCAGAGGGGCCCTTGATTTCATATTGGTAGCGAGAGCTAAGGTTAATCAGGAGGGGAAAAACAGACACAATTAATCGTCGATTTCCAGAGAATATGGGGAAATATGGGAATTGGGCGGGAAGACAAAAACTCAGAACATATGGGAAAATAGGGGGAATCTTTTTATTTGTGTGTATTTATTTGTGTGTCCCAGGGCCCCTTGAGTTGAAACCACGGCAAACAATGACGAGCGGAACGTCGCCGTCCAGAGGCGCAGCCGGCCTCCGCCTCGACGTTCCCACCGTGGGACGGCGAGCCCGGCAAGCTGCTGTCGTGCAGGTTCGACGTCGGGCTCGTCAACAAGAGCTGCAAGACGCGGGACAGGTACTCGGCGGGGCCCCAGCTGGCGAGAGCGCTCGGGGCCAGGGCGCGGCGACTGGCACAGGCGTGCCCTGGCATCGACGAGGTCGATTAGACGACGGAGGGCGGCATGCTGACAGGCTGGAGCCGCGTCTTCGACTTCCTTCCCTCGAAGCTCGACCTGTCCAACGTGAACGAGATGGAAAAACCAGCGGAACATGTCTTCAACGAGCTCCAACGGGAGCCGGTGGAGGGCGTCCTTGTGTGGACGGCGCGCTGGGAAGCGCACGAGCGGGACCTCCTGTCACAGCTGAAAGCGGTGGGCGGCTCGGTGACGGAGGTCATCGCGGGGTCGCTGAGGACTTGCTGGTACCTGCACTGCTTGTGGCTGACGCCTGTAGCGCGCGGGAAGACCACCGCGACGGCGGGCGGCGGCTACGACTTCGACAAGACGTGCGAGGCGCTCTGCACGAGATGCCAGATGCGGGCGCTGAAAGAGCTGGACGGGGCCCTCGAGAGGAAGGACAGGCGCGCTGGTTTCTACGGCGAGGCGAACGAGAACGGGCTCGACGGCCACGACGGCGATGATCGATCGGAGCTCGCGGACATCGTGGCGGACGAGGACGACGCGCCGATGCTGGACGACGCTGATTTCAAGGACCCGCCTGAGGACTGCATCTACGCGGAGTGCAAGCAGATGGGCCGGAACCTCCAGGACGCGAGGGACCTCATCCGGAGACTGAAGGTGGCAAGGAGCTACTACCCGGTCCTGGCGCCACGTCCTCCTGAAGCTCGCGAACCTTGCCCCCGTCGCCCTCGTGAACCACAGGCCTGAAAGAGGCCGGGGACCTGTGCGTGACAGGCTCAGGATAAAGGTGCTTGGCTCGCCGCAGCTACGGGCGCCAGGCCAAGGGCGGCCCCGAGAGGAACAAGTCGCGTGGCAAGCCTCAGCCCAACGAGACGACCTCCTTCGCGCTCCTGGAGCTGGGGGGGCTCGTCCTTCTCCTGGACGACATAGACGGCAGCAGTGCGATCCTGGACTGCGGGGCTACCCGGAGCCTCATCGGGGTCACGCCCGCGAAATGAAGAAGCAGTTCAACGCCGAAGTCGACCTGGCCGAGACGACCCGGCTCTTCGCGATCCTCGCTGGCCAGCGCGAGAGTTCCACGGGCTCCATGGCCGGCGACATCTTTCTGGGTGACGGCCAGGAGACGATCGAGGTTCCTTGTCATGGACAATGACGTGCTGCTGCTGATCGGGATGGTCACGGCTGGGCCTGACCACGCCAGCGCTCTGATCGGCTACGGCAACAGCTACTTGATGAAGCCCAAGATCTCGAACAACATCTCATTGCCAGTGTTGGAGGATGCCGAGCGGACACCTGGCCATCGACGTGGCGACGCCGACCTGGCGGCAGAACGCCCCGCGGAGCCCCCCGGGTCTCCGGGAGATCGCGAGCTGCAACGCCCCGGAGGACGCGTTCAGCCAGCCTGCCCCGGTGGGCCCGAGTTGTTTTTTTTTCGACGCGCCCATTGGAGTTGTCTCAGAAGGAAGTGAACAAGGACACGCCCAATGAGAATCTGACTGCTCCCAAGAAGCCTCCTAGGGACCCGGATGATCATAAGTGCCCTCTGGTATCCTCGACCCCCTTCGGCGCCTCCCGGAGACCTCCGAGATCCCCGCGGGCTACTTCGGAAGCTTCTACGCCATCATGGACTCCAGGGGCACGCCATCGGCGAATCCGAAACGGTCACCAGCTTCGCGGGCCTCTGTGGAGACATCTTCGGGATCGCAGAGGACAGGTTCGACAGTTTCGACAAACCCATTGACTCCGAAATCGATCGAGTCTGGGGCCGAGACGGACGAAACGCCCTCCCGAGCCTCCCACCGATCTGTATGATTTTGACGCGTACCGAGCGCTCTCGGCCCGAAGAGACGAACAGTCGGGAATTGTCCATCACTATTCATGCCCAGCGGATGGCATGCCGCCGTGGCACGGGCTCGTCGCCACCGGCTGTGCCGCCGCCGCCTTCGCCAGCACAGGGGCGTCCAGCTGGTCGCAAGACGTCCATTCTATGCGAAACTGCCGACATCATGGACATCCAGTTCTTCTCAGACTCAGTGCGATGCAAGGGCCACGCAGAACGAGTTCGCTCATGCACCTCCGAAGGATGCGATTCCAAATGCCGCCGTGGCGAACCCTACGGCTACATTGGTGCAGGCGGCGAAGTCTCGAGCTCAGGGCGTTCAGAGGAGCGGGCGCCGCGGCCAACCAGGTCGCGAGCGGAACGGCAGCTCGCGCACGGGCGGCGAGACCCATTCGCTGAATTTCGCGCAGAACTACCGCCCGCCGGTTCGGAAGACGCAGCTGGCGCAGGAAGGAGAAGCGAAGCCACCAATGGCAAGCCCTCCATGGTCAGCGAGTGCCGCGGTCAGCTGGCCATGCAGGACCGAGGTGATCTACGTGCGGTGGAGGCGTCTGCTGATCAAGGTCACGAAGAAGTTGTCGGACGACCGCTCGTCGGAGTCCTTCGAGATGCCGGGCGACTCTGCGACTCCCGGGGCAGCCTCCAAGCGAGGCCGGGAGCAGTTCTGAACAGCCACGACCTGAACATTCTCCAGCAGGCCATCGACCAGTACGACCTGGACTTCAAGAAGGAGATTGGGGTCGACGTCAACTTGCTGGCCCGTCACGGGCGGCGCGACCTGCTGGGGGTCTGCGCGCCGCCTACGTCCCGACTGGCCCAAACATGATCGACCTGGGCGGCCGCGCCTTTCGCGCAGGCGTCCACGACGGCATCGACGTGGGCACCAAGAGGGGGACACGGCGACTGGCTCACTGGATACGTCAGCGCCGACCTCGCAGGATCGTCATGAGTCCTCCGTGCGCGGCCGACTGCCAACTGCAGAACTGGAAACAGAAGACCGAAGCGGATCGGGAACGCCTTCGCAGGAATATCCAACATGCCCGCCGGATTCAGGCCGGCTGCGAGACCTTCCTCTCGGTTGGCATCCAGCGCCCTGGGACCGAGGTCGACCTCGCGCAGCTTCGACGCTCCCAGAGCTGGTCCCAATCTTCGGCCCTTCAGCCGATTCGGGGGCAGACCTGCGAGACGCTGGCCACAGCATGCGCGCCCGGTCTTCGACGCCCTCGCAGCGGACTGCTCCGCCCCAAAGTCTGGCGGATCTGATTGATCGACCCCGCGTTCCAGAAGGCCATCCTGAAGCGGTGCAGCAACCGCCTTGGCAGGCGCGACAACCGCGAGCACGGGGGGATCCTGGGCGGCAGGGTGGTGGCATCTACTGCGTTTTACCCCGAGGCGATATGTGCAAGGCCTGGGCGAAGCACATCCTACGAGCAGGAGGCGGCGCAGCTGCTGGTTCGGTGAGTCTACTAGCCGCGGGCCAGGACGAGACCGAGCTGATTTACGAGAGCACCGCAGAGGACGAAGACCAGGAGATGGAGGACCCACCCTAAGCTGGCGAGGAGAAGTTGCTGCAAGCGGAGGAGGAAGCACGCACTTTACGCGAAAACCCGAAAAGTCGTCAAGTTTACGACTTTTCGGGTTTACCCGTTTACCCGTTTACGCGAAAAGTCGGTCCCGGTTCCACTTTTCGGGGCAGCGTTTACGGATTTACGGATTTACGGATTTACCCGCCCCCTGGGTACAATTTCAGACGCCCCCCAGGGCTCCCCATGGGTCCAAGGGATTCCCAAGACATCCTGAGACAGCCACACGAGGGCCCCACGACGGCTCATGGCGGGGCCCGGCAGGCCCAGGGACCCCTAGGTATTTAGGATTCCTTAAGTACCTCGAGATTCGGTGGCCGAGTCTAACCCCAAGAGGGCCCCGACACAGTCAAACCGGTCCCCAGAACAGCGTTTACGGATTTACGGATTTACGGATTTACCCGCCCCCTGGGTACAATTTCAGACGCCCCCCAGGGCTCCCCATGGGTCCAAGGGATTCCCAAGACATCCTGAGACAGCCACACGAGGGCCCCACGACGGCTCATGGCGGGGCCCGGCAGGCCCAGGGACCCCTAGGTATTTAGGATTCCTTAAGTACCTCGAGATTCGGTGGCCGAGTCTAACCCCAAGAGGGCCCCGACACAGTCAAACCGGTCCCCAGAAGGCACCGTAGGGGCCCCCGAAAACATCACCTTAACCTTTCTGATGGTCCAGGAAGGCCCCAAGACGTCCACCAGAACGCCTTCGCTCCCTCTTCCCCCTCTCACTCTCCCCTCTCCCTCCAAGTTCCCCCTCCCTCCTTCCAGGCAAAGAGGCTCCTCCACCTCCCTCCTCGTCCTCCTCCGCCTCCTCCGTCTCCCCCGTCTCCCGCTTTTACTCCTCCATCGTATCCTCATTCCACCAGCATCGCACCGTCGCTACCTTCATAGACGTCGCCATCATCATGATGATGACCATCATCGTCGTCATCATTACTACCACCATCATCGCCATCGTCATCATCATCATCATCGTCATCAACAGCATCATCATCATCGCCATCATCGTCATCATCATCATCATCATCATCATAGTCATCGTCATCATCTTCGTCACCACCAGCATCATCATCATCATCAGCATCATCATCATGGGCATTGTCATCGTCATCGTCGTCGTCGTCATCACCATCGTCATCATCCTCGTCATCGTCACCACCATCAGCGTCTTCATCATCATCACCATTATCACCATCATCACCAACCATCCCCAACACCATCATCCTCGCCACCGTCATCTTCGTCCTCCTCGTCCTCAGCCAACTCCTCTCATCCCTGCGTGGCCGCCTGTTGGGTCAAGCGGAATCGGTGTTTTCCCTTCCCCGTCTGGGTTGCCATGCGGGGTCGTACGTCCCGTTGGTTCAATACTAGCTGTGGAAGGGAGGCGGTGACGTAGCAGGAGGAAGAAGAAGGATGCTGATGATGATGAGGAGGAGGAGGAGAGGAGGAGGGCGAGTATCTGGAGCCATATCTCGCCGTCTTGACACATATTGGGCTATCTTGGCAGGTTCGGTGGCCTGCCTGGACTGGTTTGCAAGTCATCTTGGGCATCTTGGACGCTTTGGGGGAGCGCCGGACGCGGTGAGCGGGGGAGGCCTTGAGCAAGTTGCAGACACCCTGGGGCTCACTATTGATGGGTCCCAGAACGGTCCGAGCTTCTGGCCCTCACGTCCTGGATACTCGTCCACCCCTCCGCCTTCCGTCCTCCTCCACCTCTTCCTCCTCCTCATCCTCCTCCTCCGTATCTCCATTTCGCCTTCCTCTTCATCGCGTCCCTCACATACCAGTGGCCGATTTGGCTCAACCACGGGGTGAGCAGCAGTCCCTGGCAGAGGCCAGTGGCCTTCACCCAGAACGCACCGCGAATGCAAACTTGTCGCGCCAGTCGGGGGCCCCCATGCTGGGCCCTTCCCGACGCCCGCTGCTTCGGGCAGCCATGCGGGTGGCGATGGCGTTCCTGTGGGCACAACAATGGGAGGACGATGGACAGGCACGTGGCCCTTCACGGCAAACACGGTTTCCAGTCGGAAGCGTTGCAGACGCAAGCTCGGCTGATGCGGCGGCACGAGGACGACGGCGGCCCGTCTTGGACATGCACGGAATGCAACGTTTGTGTGAACACTTTGTCCAGTGCTTTGGGTCACCGGTGTGCGCGGCCAAGGTCGCGTGGCGCGCCGACGTCGAGCTCCGTGCATAACCCTTCCCGCCAACCACCTGCCAAAAGGATGAAGGCTTCCCCTGCTGTGACTTCAGCGCTGCCGCCGCCGCCGCCCGACCTGGGGCACGAGCGTCTGAGCCTTGCGTTTGCCCAGGCGCATGCTGCCTCGCGGCCCTTGGCCGCGATGACGACGGCTTCCTTGACCACAGCTGCCCGGGTGCCATCGGCGCCCACCGACGTCCCGTGGCAGTTGGGCGACTTCCTTCCCTGGCCAGGCCTGCATGCTGGGCCGGGCCGCAAAGAAATCTTCGCGTGCATCTGGCGGCTCCCCGACACTGGACCAGCCCGCGTGATCCAGTTCACGCCTTACCCTGCAAGCGGCGGGACTTGCGCGCGCCACCCGGACGGAGGAGGCTGCTGGCGCGCGCGGTTGCCGCTCGTCTCCACTGAATTGCAGTTGCCGTCTTCGCGGAGCGTCTCTGATTCCCTGACGCCGCGCGAAACCACCTCGAAGGGGCTGTTGCTGCTGAGCGACCGCTGTTTCCGGAGATCGCGGGCCCGCGCCGCGCCAAGGGGCGATGGCATTGGTCTCGGGCAGATGCTGTCCTCGTTTGTGGACGCAGCCGCGTCGGCCATGAGCGAGCGTTCTGACGCGGCTTCGCGCGCTGGCGACCTGTGGAGCCCAGCTGCGTGGCAGATTTATTTGGATGCCACCACATCGGTGTTAGAAGCTCGGGAGATCCCGCGAGAGTGCCCAGCCCGCGCGGGAGGCGGCGCGTGCGACGTCAGCACTTGGGGCTCCCAGCTCGGCCTCAGGGTCGCCTCATCCGTCGGCTGCCGCAGGGCCCTCTGCACCCGGTACAGCTGCAAGGTGCACGAGTGCACGTGGCAGTTGCCCCACGGCCCCAACACGGTCGGCGCGACGCTCGTGGGCGACCTTGTTGGCGACTTCCTCGTGTGCGGCGACTTCTGGCCAGACGCGTTGCGAGTGTTCCAAGAGACCGAGAATTTCGTGGCGCTGGAGAGGCACCTTCGGGACCTGACGAGCCGCCACGTGGAGCGAGTTGTCAGGAGTCACAACTTGCGCCATGTATTGAGCGAGCCGGAGGCCATGATCTTACACAGAGCACTGCTCGCGCACGTCAGCAAGACCCCCGATCGACGGACCCTCAAGGATTGGATTCGCAAGTGGGTGTCCGCCCGCGTGTCCCCGCTCGTGCCCCACATCGCCATGGCGGTGTGCGCGGGGCACGCCGCCGTCGTCAACATGGACTTCTCCGCCAGCGACTGCAGGCAGCTTCGGGCGGTGGGCCTCCGCAAGAAAGAGAAACGCACGTTCGCTGGCGTCACCGGTCTCGGGGATGTCCCGCTGCTGCCGTGCTTGTACGTCGCAAAAGAACAGCGGGACACAGTGGAGTCGACCATGTTCATTGTTTTCCGTTTGCTGAAGCTTCGAGGGCTGCGCCCCATTGGCCTCAACGTCGACAACTTGGCCGCGTGGTTCGACATCATCACGACGTCCTTGGACCACAGCTTCCCAGGCTTAGTGAAGCAGGCCACCTCGGAGAGCGAGGCCGCGTTCGTTGATCACCTGCGGGGGGGGGGCGTGGTGGTCCTCCGTGCCGCCAAGCGCGTCCTCGGGTTCGAGCTCGGGCAGGACGCCTTGCACGTATACATGCGGATGCTCGAGTCGCTCAATTTCCGATCGCAGGAGGTAGCGTGGGCAATCCGCTGCCTGCGCAAGTGGCTAGGCTCCGTGAACCCCGCAACTCGGGGGGGCTCCGAGGGCCCGGACGACGGGGGCGCAGCCGCCGACAAGGCGATGGATGACGTCGAGTTTGCTGGCGCCAATGGCGTGCGGAGCGACGCGCCCCGCCCCGCGAGTCTCGAGGCCGCCTTGTCTGCGTACTTCAACTTCGAGGCGTGCGCGCCCGGGACGTACGAGATGCTGGAAGCGGCCTCGTCGTTCGAGTGGGGCCACCCGAGACACGGGCGCCCCCTGCCGCCTGCCGCCAAGGCAGTCATCCTCGAAGATGTCGCTCGGGCCACGACGCTGAAGGGCACGCCGAGAGCGAACATCGCCTGCGCCGTGTACCGCGTGGTCTACGCATGCCAGGGCCACCCGAGCATAGACACCATCGCCGAGGACCTTCGCGGTCTGCAGGTACTGTTCCAATGTCAGAGTTTCTCGCCGAGCGGCGCCGTTGACTGCGCGCGCGGGGCGGGCTGGGCAAAGGCCCAGCTCGCTTATTTAAAGCACGTTAGGAAACGGCCTTCGGCTGGGCCGCGGCCTGCAGAGGCGCCGCCACGAGGCAGAAGGGCCCCCGCTTTGGTGCCCGCGCCCCCGGGCGGCGAGTCTTTTGCGGCTACGGCCGACGCCCAGCTGCAGCCTGCTGTCTTGAACGGGTTGCTCGCCTCCTACCGGTGCAAATTGTGGGCGCTCCACCAGGGGCGCGACGTGTCCCTCGGGACCGTGGGCACAGAGCGCCTCTGGCGAAATGGCCAGCGGACAGCTAGGAACAAGGCCAGAGCGCGCGCTGACGCCGACACCGTCAATTTGCTTACGGTGATCCGCTGGGTGAATGAAGTTGCCTCCCGCTTGCTCGCGGCCGAAGACCGCCGAGCAGCAGCCGCGGGCCCGGCCGCCCCGCCGCACCGGACACGGCAACTTGCCTTGTCCGCGGAGCACCTCGCAGCCGCGCTGATTTGGGGAGAATCCAGCGGTGCGCCCTTGACTGTTGGGGCCCCCGATGTCCCCGAGGCGTCTGCTGTTACCGATGACGCAGTGCTCGGGCATCTTCGCGAGCTGTTTCAGGCGGGGCGTCTGTAGCAGGCGCCCGTCTTCTGTAGCATGTATTCTTTCTCTCTTCTCTGCGCTGCCCTGGCCCTTCACCGGGCTCCTCTTCCGTGCACGTCGTTAGCATTATTGTTGCCATGTCACGCGATTTTATCGTTGCAATGCTCGGCCGCTCCGGGGAGCATGGGATCGCCGAAGAAAAACCCAAGAGGCCCCCAAGACGGCCCCGAGAAGGCCCCGGGGGCGTCCCGACAATGGCATCCAGAGGGCCCTCTTGGATGGCACTGACGGGGGGCCCCTCTTGAATTTATCCGAAGCCCCCCGCGAGGTCCAAGGGGAAGCTCCGCGAGGGCCCAAGCAAAGGCCGCGAGGGCCCCCGGACGGCCTCGAGAGGAATGAGAGGAGGAGGAGGAGGAGGAGGAAGAGGAGGAGGAGGGGGAGGAGGAGGAGGAGGAGGCGGAGGAGGAGAAGGAGGGGGAAGAGGAGGAGGAGGAGGAGGAGGAGGAGGAAAGGAAGCCCCCGAGAACCTCACCATAACCCTTCTGATGGTCCAGGAAGGCCCCAAGACCCAAGACGTCCACCAAAACGGCTTCCCTCCCTCTTCCCCTGTCTCTCCCCTCTCCTTCCAAGTTCCCCCCTGCCTCCCAACCTCTTTTCGTGACCGAGCGAGGAACGGCTGGGGCTTGGGAGACGAGGCCAGGGCCTGTGTGCCACCCTCCCTCCCTCCCTCTCTCCCTCCCTCCCTCCCTCCCCCTTTTTCCTCTTCCCCCCTCTTCTCGCCATCCTTTTTAACCTCGTTCTCCCTTCTTCCCCCGCCGTCCGATCTCGCTGGGCCGTGCGAGGCGTATCGAGGCCAGGCCAGAGCCTCCGTCCTGCTCTCCCGCCCTCCCTCCTCCCCGTCACCTCCCTCCCTCCGTCCCTCCCTCCCCCTCCTTCCCCCTCCTTCCCCCTCCTCTCCCTCCCTCCCTCCCTCCTTTCCCCTACTTCCTTTTCGCTCTCCCTCCGACCGTCCATCCCCATTCTCCCTTTCCCCCCTCCCTCCGCCATCCCTTTTAAATCCTTCCTCGTTCTTCCCCCCTCCTTCCTCGTCCTTCTCCCCCTCCCCTTCCCTCTCCTCCTCCCGCACCCCCCTCCCACGTACTCCGAGTGGGATAATAATCGCCCCCCTTGGCCAAGGGGGGATGGGCGCGTGCTGTCGGAAGGGGTTGGTTGGGGGGATGGACTCGCGGTGAGGAGCTAGGATGTGGGGCCGCGCCCGCGCTGGTACTCAGTTTCAAAAAGATGTTTTTTTTTATTCTTGACGCTTCGCGTATCCCCACCAGCCCATCCAGGAACAACGCCCAGGCGCTTTGAGGTGATCAGGGTGCTTTGGGCATCTTGGGTCCGATCCCTTCGAGGCCTAATGGCATCGGACTTAAGATGCCCAACGCGTTCCTGAGCATCTTAAGTCCGAACGCTTTGGGCATTTTAAGTCCGATGCCCAAGAGGCTCCAAGCGGGCCCCAAGAGGGCTCCAAGACGGCTCCAAAAGGGTCCGATTTTCTACTGCCAGACGCCCACTCGCTGGTAGTAGAAAATGCTGCCCTGTTGGAGCCATGAGCGCGAGGCCCTCTTGGATCCCTCTTTGGCCCCCAAGAGGTTTCAACAGGGCCCCAAGAGCGCGGCCCCCAAGAGGTGTCAAGAGGGCCTCAAGAGCGCCCCAAGAGGACTCAGAGGACTCAAAGGAACTCCACGAAGGCCCCCCGCTGGTAGTAGAAAATGCTGCCCTCTTGGAGCCCCTTCGGGGCTCTCTTGGGCCCTCTCGGGGCCCTTTTGGAGCCCTCTCGAGCCCCCAACAGGCTCCAAGAGGGCCCCACGAGGGTCCCAAGAAGGCTCCAAGACGGCCCCAAGAGGGCCCGATTTTCTGCTACCAGGCGGCCCCCCGCTGGTAGTAGAAAATGCTGCCCTCTTGGAGCCCCTTCGGGGCTCTCTCGGGGCACCCTTGGGACCCTTTTGGAGCCCTCTCGGGCCCCCAAGAAGGTCCAATGAGGGCCCCAAGACGGCTCCAAGACGGCCCCAAGAGGGCCCAATTTTCTACTACCAGACGGCCCCCCGCTGGTAGTAGAAAATACTGCCCTCTTAGAGCCCTCTTGGGCCCTTCTTGAGGCTCCCAAAAAGGTCCCCGGGGACATCCGAGGCCCGACTTGGGGCCCCCTTCGGCCGTCTCCGGGTCCCGTCTTGGGCTCCGGTCCGTGGACCGTCCTCAAAGTTTCTGGCTCCGTCTTGGAGCAATCTTCTGCCAATCTTCTGCCGTCTTGGAGCCTCTCTTTAGGGCATCTGCGGCCGTCTTGGGGCTCTCTCCCGAATCGTATTTTCCATCCTCACATACCGCCATCATCACCATCACCACCGTAGCTGTGATTCAGTGCTCAGACGAAGATTTCGCACCTTCCGGCTATCGCATCGCACTGCTTGGAAGCAGCGATACAATGGTGCATTGCTGGTTGTGCACTGCAGAGACTCCTTTGGACGATATAGTATACTTGAGAGATGTGATTACAAACAGCGAGCATCGCACGTTGCTCGTAGACCGCTTCGGCGGCTGTAGTACGATGCCTTTTCTTTGCCAAGGCTGCGCCAACAACTTGGTATCATATCAGACCACAGCGGCTAAGTTCCACGAAACTGAGGTGGGCCAGTCTTTGATGCGCACTGCTCAAGCTCTCTTCAATCGCGATCGCGACCAGATTGCTGCATTTTATGCATTACACGGCACCACCAAAAAAGTTGAGCCACTCGTACCAGCAGGGAAAAGTTTGGACGATGCTGGGGGTTGGCACCCCCACGTTGAGTTCCAGAGGGGGTGCAAATTCGAACCTTACATTGGCCGGACAGCCAGGGCCGCCCGCGTAGTGGGCGCCAGCCCCAAGGCCGCTGCCGCGAGCCTGCGCGAGCGTTTAGCGCTCATGAGACCGTGGTACGTGCTGAAATCTACCATTGATCCTAGCAAGTCCATTTCGTTAAATGGTACAGTAGACAGGTTCTATTCTCGCCTTGTTGCAGAACATTCTGGCTTTTTTTTGCCATTTGCTGATATATTTTGGTTATCGTTGCCAACGGGAAAGCGCGTGCCGAAAGAATTAGCCGCTATCAGAACATTAGCACGCGAACATCTGTATACCCACTGGAGCACAGGGTGGGGTGTCTCCGCGGTTGTAAACGAAGCGCTGGGGGCGGAAATCCTCCCAGACTCACAGGACAGTGAGCATGAGGTGCGCCAGGAACTTTTTGGCTTCTATGCCAGCTTTCTGTACTTCACACCCTGGGGAAAACAAGTGCGCGATTTGGCTGTGGAGGGCCTGCCGCAGCATCTCAACGACACCGTCTTCCTCATGCAGTGTTTCTTTTTCAAGCTATGCGAAGTCCGCAAATACAACAGCATGCGGCGGCGGTTCTGGGTTGAATGGTGGGCCCCCATTCTGACAAGAATTCATTCTGTCCTCACCAGCACAGTGGCGCGTATTCATTGGCCCATTTTCTATGTCTCCGAGCCGACCGACCAATGGGACACGTTCGTGGCAAAGTTCAAAAAAGGAGACGAACAACCCATCCCAAAAAAACCTTGCCTACCATCGGTCCATGGAAACAGCTCGGAGGCGACTGCTATCGAGGATGAGTGGATGCCGCCGTGCCCTTGTTGCCGCTCCTGTGATACACGGTCACATCAGGCCGCCCACAAGCGATATCGGTGCTATCGCTGCGACCATTATTTCAGATGCCATTTTGCTTCGGCGTCTTGAGACGCGCCGATGATTCCCCGTCTTGAGACAGTTGGCGTTGTAATTATGTTAGCCATTTCGTTGCCGTTGGAAATCCGAATAAAGATCCGCATGTCCAGCCAGGCCAGCCTCATCTAGATGCTTCTCGGCAACTATAGCCGCCCCCTCTGGGCTGGTTCCATGGTTGGTTGGCTGGGCGATTTGCTGGTTGGTTGGTTGGCCGCTTGGTTGGTTGGATGGTTGGTTGGCTGGGCATTCGCTGGTTGGTTGGCTGGTTGGCTCGCCAGAAGAAGGCGGGTCGCGGGTGGGTGGGACCTTCGAGAAAGAGCAACGCCGGCCTGGGAGGGGCTGAATACGGTGGGGGGTGCCTCTGGGGTGCTTCCGAGGCGCCCTAGGCGGACAGGCCGGGCGGCCGGGGGTGCCGCCGCGGCCGAGGAGGGCCCTTGGAACCCTTCTGAGGCGCCCCAGGCGGACAGGCCAGGCGGCTGGGAAGCCCGCCACGACCCGCCGCTCGCGGGGCGAGTCTCGGGCCCGAGGCGAGGATAATCAACCGGATCCGGCCTTGGGTCGGAGGCGAGGGCGGCGAGGCAGAGGAGGAGGCGGAGGGGGAAGGGGAGGAGGAGGAGGAGGAGGAGGAGGAGGAGGAGGAGGAGGCGGGGGAGGCGGGGGACGAGGAGGAGGAGGAGGAGGACGACGCAGCGTGCCCAGCCGCATGCCAACGGCGAGGGCGACTCCGCCGCCACGCCGCACCGCCCTGGAAGTTGGAGGGAGGGGGGAGGGCAGGAGGAGGACGAGAATGCGGAGGAGGAGGAGGAGGCGGAGGAGGAGGAGGAGGCGGAGGACACATCGTGCCCGTCCGCATGCAGCATCGAGGGGCGACCGCGCCGCAACGCCCAATCGCCCTCGGGGGGGACGGGGGGGGACGAGGAGGAGGAGGAGGAGGAGACCAAACGAAAGACCAATATTGGAGTTTGGACCGTCTTGGGGCGGTCTTCTGGGCCGTCTGTATGTCTGTTGGCCGTCTCGAGCGGCCAGGAGATTCCCCGGACGGCCCAGTAAGGGCCCGAAGCGGCTTCACTGCAGCCCGCGGCGGGGCTTGGCAAGCCCAGGGCCCGGAGGTATTTATGCTCCCCTAAATACCTCGCGATTCGGTCGCCGACCTTGCCCCCGAAAGGTTCCCAAGACAGCCCAAGACTTCTCCAGAATATCAAAACGGGCCCCAGTGACGCCCCACGAAGGCTCCACATGACATCAGCGGACGTCGAAATGCCCCCCAGGCGGTCCAGGAGCTCGCCCTGACCCCGGGCCCCCTCCAGGGATCGGCATCATCGTCATCATCACCGTCATCATCGTCACCATCAGCAGCATCGGCATCATCAGCATCGGCATCATCAACATCAGCATCAGCAGCATCGTCATCAGCAGCATCAGCACCGTCAGGCCACCATTGTCATCAGCAGCATCGGCATCATCGTCATCATCGTCACCGCCATCATCGTCATCGTCATCATCTTAATCAACGTCATCATCGTCCTTATCGCCCTGATCGTCCGAGGCCCGACTTGGGACCCCCTTCGGCCGGAGACGGCCGAAGGGGGTCCCAAGTCGGGCCTCGGATGTCCCCGGAGAACCTTTTTGGGAGCCTCAAGAAGGGCCCAAGAGGGCTCTAAGAGGGCAGTATTTTCTACTACCAGCGGGGGGCCGTCTGGTAGTAGAAAATTGGGCCCTCTTGGGGCCGTCTTGGAGCCGTCTTGGGGCCCTCATTGGACCCTCTTGGGGGCCCGAGAGGGTTCCAAAAGGGCCCCAAGAGGGCCCCAAGAGAGCCCCGAAGGGGCTCCAAGAGGGCAGCATTTTCTACTACCAGCGGGGGGCCCCCTGGTAGCAGAAAATCGGGCCCTCTTGGGGCCATCTTGGAGCCTTCTTGGGGCCCTCTGAGGGCTCTCTTGGAGCCTCTTGGGGGCCCGAGAGGGCTTCAAAAGGGCCCCAAGAGGGCCCCAAGAGGACAGCATTTTCTACTACCATGATCGTGCTGGTCACCATGATCGTGTTAATCACCATCGCATTCTTCATGATCGTGTTAATCACCATCAACATCCTCACCATCATCACCGTAATCATCACCATCGCCGTCGCCGCCGATTTGTCGCTCAAGGTGCCTGGCGCAATTTGTCGGGCCATCCGTGGCCCGAGCGCGGGCTCTTCGTTCAAGGTGCCTGGCCGCAGGGGCGGCGCGGCGAGTGCCAATGTCGCAGGATGACGCAGAGCCCCCGTCGTTGTCCCAGCTGTCGCCTGGCAGCGTGCTCTCTCGCATGAAAGCCATCGAGAAGGAGTCCGTCGTAGAGTTCGAGGCCATGAAGGCACGCATCAAATCATCCACTGACCCTGGCGATGGAGCAGTCGATCGGCTGCGCAGCATTGCTGTCCAGGCGTGGCGAAATGCCACCGGCACCACCGTCCCTTGGCAGTTCTTGGGGGACATCCTCAACAAGGCGAACGCGCAGTTGCGCGACCTCTTCTTCGAGAACTGGTGCGACGGGGTCTGGGACGCCAAGGCGGTGAATGAGGCAACGAACTTTCATGCGAAAGCTTCCAACATCTCGGTGAAAGACTACATGAAAGAGCACGCGGAGGATTTCTACACGGAGCTCCTGCGCGAGAAGTGCCCCGACCCTCGGCGCGCGCAAGAGCTGACGCCGGTCCGGTCTATGGCGCCCGCGGAGATCGCAGACGCCTGCTCCCGGGTTTCGGTGGGGAACGGATTGCCTGAGGATGGGCACTTGGTTCGAGCCGCTTTTCAGGGGCAGTGCGTGTACTATTGGAAGGGCGCCGCTTCGGAGCTTAAGAACCCGCTCTTGGAGGAGAGCGAGAGCAAATGGGACGTGGGCGCGCCGTGGCCTTAGTTCGGCCCCCCGTGCTGGCAGGAGGGTCCGCGAGATCGGAAGTGCGGGCAAATCCGCCCGCGCCCCCGATGTCGCGGACCCGCCGTCCAAGGTCGAATCTCCCCCTGATCGCCGAAGGGGACCCGTCTGGCGGCAAGGACAACCTCAAGAACATCGTGCTCACGTGGATCGGCTCCTTGAGCGAGGAGCAGCTTCCAGCAACGACAGTGTGGAAGCAGCGGGACATCTCGGTCACGGGGATCGTGAAGCAGCTTAAGAGCACCGGCCCGCAACTCCAGATTTTGAACGGGGAGCTGGAAAAGGTTCTCAATTCCAAGAAGGAGAACATGCTCCAAGAATCAGACATCATCGAGTTCTTGGATGGCACTGACGCATTCGGAAAAGGGACTGGTCAAGACCAGTGCTGCATCAAACCTGTGGCGTGGATGCTGCTGTGTTCACAAATGAAGACTTACACTCGGGAAATGGGCAGCGACTCGTGTGGCCGTCTGCGCTTCGTGCTCCTGCACCTCGACGCTAGCAAGACCAAGAACACGCCCACGGAGGAGAAACTTGTACCCCGGCACCGAAGCATGGAGTTGCTGACGGAGACCCTCCGAGAAGTCTTGTTGGCGCAGCAGAGTGCGGCGCCGGAGGCAGCGCATGGGTTCGCCGACGCCGCGAGCGCCCCGAGCTCGTCGCAGCCGCCTGGCGAGTCGGCCGACGCGGCGCGCCCCCCCGTGAAGTTGCGCGCCCGCCTCAGCCGCGCCATGGCGAACGTGGAGGGGCCGTCGGTGAAGGAGGAGGAGCCGATAGTGAGAGTGAAGCTGGAGGAGCCCCACCACCCGCCGGCGCAGCCAGTGACAGCTGGCGCCCCGCCCAGCGACATGGCCGTGAGCATCATGGACTGGAAGCCGACGGCCGCCCTCATATTCATCGGAGTTCAGGACGGGTCCTCGGCCGCGTGCAACAAATCGGGCAACCCCATGGGCAGCTCCGTCGTGACTAAACACGCGGGCAAAGCTTTCGGCGCTTGCGCCACGGCTAACGTGGCGTCCAGGAACGGGCTGCTCCGCGCCTGCCCCGGCTGCCGCGGCTGATCGCCTGATCGAGCGATCGGAGAAGGTTGCTTGCTGCGGTGGTCCGCGGCTGCTTGCGATCGAGATCGGGGTCCGCGGTTTCGGGGCCCTGGTTCGCCGTCCCCTCGGTCGCCGTGGGCCCGCGGTTCGCGCGTCATTCAGTTCGCGACAGCCCGATCCCCCAGGTCACCCTTTGTCGCGCCTCAGCCGGGCAGGTCGATCGCTGGGCGGGCAGGGGGCGGCGCGTCACCGAGGCTTCGCCATCGGCCGGAGCGCTCCTCTTGATGCTGGGATTCGAACTCTCGACGCCCTGGCGGCGGTGCCCGCCATGGAGCTCTACTCCGTCAACCAGATGGCCGCGGAGCGCAAGATAGAGCGCAAGAAGGAGCTGATTCATGCCTCGGAGCCCCGTTCGAGGGCCACGATCGAGGACGAAGCCACGGAGGAGGTGCCGCATTTGAGCAATGTTGATTTCGCGGCGCGCCGGCTGCTGGACGCGGCGGCAGCCGTGGACGGCATGTGGGCTAACGCCGTAGAAGGCATCCCCTACAAGATATCGAGCAAGAGCCCGTGGTACAACTTCCAGCACAAGCACTTCCGCCGCGATCGCAAGCGGCAGGCCGACCTGATCAAGTACGGGGGCACAGCGACGCTGCAGCCATACGGCAAGAGCGAGGGGTGGAAGAGCTTGCTCGACCACTTAGTCGAGCGCGGAGCTGCCGAGCCAGACGGCGCCCGCGTGCGCATCCGGGCTTCGTCTCCAGGCCGTCGCTTCGTCAGCGAGCTGAAGCTCTCGTGCGAGGCGGCCGCCATGTATAGAGATGCGCCAGCGGCCAGCGCGGCGCCGGCTCTCGGCGCGGGTGGCCAGGGCCCGGCGGACGCCGCCCCCAGCGAGCCCGCTCCGCCAGGCGGGAAGCGCCGCAGGCGCAAGTTCTGTCTGAGCACCTCGCCCCCGAAGGTCCCACTGCGAGCTGGGTCCCGGGTCCGCGGGGCCGCCCGCGCTTCCCAGGCCCGCGCGAGCCCGAATTCGCCGGCCGCATCCGCGGCCGAGACCCCCGAGAGCCGTGCGTCCGAGAGGGCCCCGAGCCGTTCCGGGTCGAGGTCCAGGTCCAGGGCCGCGCGCGGAAGTTGAGATGCGCCGCTCGCGTCATCCACGCGGTTATAATTCAGGGGCGACCGAGATGACATCGCCCGCCGCCAGCGCTTTTGAGCACGTGGCGTCGTTTTCTTCGGTCGTTATGCAAAAACCTCTGGCCCCCCCTCATCGCTGTCCATCCCCGGCCGCTTGTCGCACGGGGGAGATGGGGGCGGGGGAGGAGGAGGAGGACGGAGGGGGAGGAGGCCAGGAGGAGGGAGGAGGGGAGGAGGAGGAGGAGGAGCCTGCGGATACAATTTCAAATGCCCCCCAGGGATCCCCAAGGGCCCAAGGGATTCCCCAGACATCGTCAGACAGCCACGCGAGGGCCCCGCGACGGCCCATGGCGGGGCCCAGCAGGCCCAGGGACCCCGAGGTATTTGGGATTCCTTAAGTACCTCAAGATTCGGTGGCCGAGTCTAACCCCAAGAGGGCCCCGACACAGCCAAACCGGTCCCCAGAAGGCACCATAGAGGCCCGCGAGAACCTCACCAACATTTTTCTGATGGACAGGGAGGAGGGGAGAACGGCGAGGAGAGGATGAGAGGATGAGGATGAGGAGGAGGAGGAGGAGGAGGAGGAGGAAGGAATAGAGATGGGGTGACGTCGCCAGCCGACGTCGCACAGGATCTCGCAGGGCGCAGCCCGTCGACATGGACGGCCTCTGCTTGCTCCTCCCCTTCCTCCCCCCTCCGCGGCCCTGGCACCTGCCCGCTGGGTAAGCGCGTAAATTCGCAAAGTGGTAAACCGACAGGCGGCTCGTTTACGCGTTTGCCGCTTTACCCGTTTTCGCGTAAAGTGGGAGGTGCGGGAAAACCTCCACTTTACGCGAAAATATCCCGGTTTACGAGTTTACGGGTTTACCCGTTTTCGCGTTTTCGGTGGATCCTCCTCTTGCGGCCTCCCAACTTCTCCTCGCCAGCACAGGACCCACCCGGGTCCGACGACGGGTTCGAGAAGGATTATCTTAAAGAGCTCACCAAGGACGAGGGCCAGTTGTCTACCAAGGAGCAGCAGGATATATAACGCCGTCTCAGTCGTCTACATCGGAAACATGGTCACTCCAGCGCTCGAACGATGTGCAATATTCTTAAGAACTCGGGGGCTAGCCTCGAGGTTCTGAAGATGGCGAAGAGTTCCATGTGTCACGTCTGCAACTCGTCAGGCCTGCCGAAAGCTCTCCAGACCGCCGCTGGCATCGAGATTCCAGAGGTCTTCGAGGTGATGTGCAGCGACGGGTTGGAATGGGCCGACCCGACGGACGACGCGATCTACCTCCTGACGCTCAACCTCGGCGAGGGGTCAGGCTTGACCCGGGTCACCAACCACGTCGACAAGCCTCAGCGGTCTGGGAATCGCCCAGCCGCAGACCTACTGGAGACCTGGAGATCTTGGACCAACCACTATTGGGCTTCTCGTCTGATTCTGTGCGATGCTGAAGGATGTCGCCGAGCAGACCTTACCAAGAGCTGGTGCAGCTTCCGCGGCATCGAGATGGTCATTGCGCCTGGGGAAGCCCATTGGCTCATGGGCAAGGTGGAGCGCCGCATTCAACGATTCAACCGCACGCCCACCAAGGTCAGGAAGCATAGCCACGACTGTGACATCGACGATGCCATCAGCCAGGTAGGTCATGCCACCAGCGCCCTTGGCAAGGTGGGGAATCACTCCCCGTTCGTGCACACCTTCGGCATCGGAGGCGCTCGAGCTACTCGCAAATCCTACGCTATCATCGGCGACTGGAATGGAAAGAGAGCAGAGAGCACCGATGCCTTCAGGCACGGCAGAGCTTCATCGAAGTGGCGTACTCCAAACGGCGTCCACATGCTGAACACGCTCGCAGTCGCATCGCGACTCGCTGGAACACCGGCGAGCACTGCTGCTACTGCTGGCGCACCTGGTACGGCCCTGCCCGCGTGCTGGTACAGGAGCAGCGTCTCCTGGCTGGTTCGTCGCGGGCAAGGCCCGTTCTACGGAAAAGCTGACAGAGGTGGGTCGGAACACTTTACGAACATGTTGTGGTGTTTTTTTTCCTGGCTGGGCGTGAATGCTTTACCGTGGGTTTTTACATGGGTAGCCTATGTTCACAGCAACGTACCGAACGGGGACTACAAGCCCTTTTGGGATCGCCGACAACTTCACCAAGATGGTCAAAGCCAGTCGGGCAGATGGGATTCAAACATTTCGGCATGAGGAGGAGGAAAAGGAGGAGGAGGAGGAGGAGGAGGAGGAGGAGGAGGAGATGAGGAGGAAGTGGAGGAGGAGGAGGAGGAGGAGGAGGAGGAGGAGAAGGAGGAGGAGGAGAGGGGAGGAGAAGGAGGAGGAGGAGGATAATCAGGAGGAGGAACCCTGAAACCACTCGGGACGGGAATGGGTTCAGCGGGGGACGCATCGACCGCCAACCGCCCGCTCACCGCCGACAGGGGCCCGATGGCCCACCCCATTTGGAGCATGCATTTTCGGAGCCGGGGCCTTCTCGCCCTTCGATGTTTGCCCTGCGTTCTGCTTCGCAGTCATGAGTCGTCGCGTCGGGCGCTCCACTCTCGGCTTCGCAGTCGGTCGGGCGGCGATCCGTGTCCTGCCTCTCTTTTCGTGGTCCTCGAAGAGTTGCCGATCGCTCGCTCTTCTGCCCACGCGGCCTTCCTGATGCTTGGTTATGTGGTGGTTCCCCCCTACACCCACTTCCATCTGCTCATCTGCTGGGACTGCACCGGGGCTCTTCTGGCCCAATTTGTGCTGCGAAACGGGGGGGCAAAAAAGGAAAAAACGGAGGAGGTCCCCCTTCCCTCTCCCTCCCCCCCCTCCTCCCTCCCTCTCCGCTCCCTCCCTCCCCCCACTTCTCTACCCCCCGCCCCGCTCCTTCCCTTCCCTCCACCCTCTTTCCCCCGCTCATCTGCTCCTCGTCTCCCACCCACTCGCATCGCGAAGGGAACCATTCACTCATCCTCGTCTCCCACCCCCTTAATCCCCCCCTCCACCTCCCTTCCCTCCCTCATTTCTCCCCCCCTTGCCCTCCACATCAGCCGCTCTGGCTCTTGACACTGTCTTGCCAACGTTTCCGGCAGCACGCTCCGGAACTCCACGAATCGAAGAAGCAAACCGCCAACTGTAAACAGAAGCTTCTGGCGCTTCGCGCGGATTTGTGGGATCCGCGCTGGGCGCCTCCAGCGGCGCCTCTGGCGCCGCCCATGGCCCGCTCCGCGCGCAAGGGAGGGAGGCCCAGCGCAGGTCCAAGAGGTCCGCGCGGAGCGCCACAAGTTTGTGTCTGTGGCGTTTTATTCTTCACGCGTACTTCTGGCACCGACCGTACAGTCGGGCCGCTGAGGAAGGAACCTTTCTCGTTTGGCAGGGGCTCAGTGTTCCTTGATTGTTTTGCAGATTGGCTTAGCAGCTCCTTAGGTCTTCTATGGGAAATCAAGTTCAACTTATGGAGAAAAAGGGGCCTCGTTCCTTATTTAGGGTTCCTTTTGACAGCGTCTCGACTGTACCCGGACCCGCGTCGGTACCCACCTCAAGACCAATGTCCGCCAAGGCGCTCTCTGTGCTGGCGGGCCTCGCGCTCGCGCAGGCGCGGCTGGGCCAGCAGGCCCAGAAGCGGGGGGCGTGCGACTGCCTCAACTGGGCGGGCGTCTACTACGACCACCTGGCCATGTGCGGCCGCGGCAAGGAGCTCCACTTCCTCTCCAAGTACGGCTTCACTGCCGCGTATGCGGCCACCGAGCCCATCGCGAAGACGCAAAGACGCCTTAGACCTAAATTATTGGCGCTGCGCTCGGAGTTCTTGGATCAGCGTTGGTCCCCCCCCCTGGCGGCGCCTCCAGCGCAGCTCCGCGCGCCAGGGAGGGGGTGGGATCCAGCGCAGATCCAAGAAATCCGCGCGGAGCGC